GGGCCCGTCGCGAGGACGATGTCCTGCGTGGGGACATTTCGGCAAATCATAGCGCGTGACGACAGCGTCGCGTGCGTCGCTATTGGTTATATCATTTTCTCTCTCTCTTTCTGGTGTTCCATCTCTGTCTAACGGCTTATCGATGTTTCTACGCCGTAGAATTTCTGGAATGTTCTATTCTCATCGATAATTCCAATATTAGATATAAAATGATGCGATTATCAACTAATAGTTTAAATCGGAATTATTAAACAATAAATTTGCAAGTAATTGAATCTACTATTCGTATGATACTAATCTACTATACTATTGCGTATGAATAATGAAACCGGTGATCCCGAGGTTTCTTAATTAACAGTTGTCCTTCCATAATCATTATGTTCGCAAAGAATTCGATCAACAATATGAATTGCGCCGGTACGCTCGGTATAAGGCATTCGGTGTTCGATCGCAATTTTCAATAACGACAGTTTTCCATTATTAATCGAATATTCGGTATTACATTTGCGACGTAGTTGGTTCGAGAACGTTCTCGCCATTCGAAAATTACCGTTAGGTTTTCGGTTTCAGGCAAATTCTCGGAATTCGATACAAAGACTTTTATTGCCCCGTACGACCCTTTGCCTCTAAACAGTCCTCGAACGCTTGCTAACGTTTGCCTGCAAGGGTTCTCATTCCTCGCTCTCGCATTCATACAAATATTCAACAAGCTAGATTGCTTAGTGTTGCGTCGCAACAAAGCATATGAACCCATCCAAAATTTTCTATATACGTTACTGTGAGAATTACCAGGTAAAACCTATCCTTACAAAACTAAACGTTTCCCAAAGCGGTCAAAAGACATTTCGGTTAACCTTTACCAGAAGGTGGGACGCAAATCCGAATGGGTCATATGTCATTGGAAAGCCCTTGACGAGAGGAACACAACGGTGTGGGTGGGAAGTCTTAAATATGAGACTTTGACCCGCTAGACGTCAAAAACTAAAATGCCCCAAAACATATAAATTTATTAACTTTTTTTCTTTCTTATTTAACGAGGAGAAATCTTCGAAAAAGACACCCTAACTTAACCTAACCTAACCTAACCGTAACCTAACCTAAATATGGCGGTGACGGCGCTGTATCTGCGGTGGTTTGTACGTTACACAGCAACATTCGCGTTTTTATCATAATCCAGCGTCAGGAGTGGGTCTATCTGGACGAAAACCTCTCGCACAACAAAATTAACGTAATTTTAGTTTTTAACCTCTAGCGGGTCAGGGTCTGATATTTATGACCTCCCACCCACACCACTGTGTTCCTCTCGTCAAGGGCTTTCCAATGACATACGACCCATCTGGATTTGCCGCCCAGCTTTTGAATAAACTCAATATATATATTTGAAATCATCTTAGTTTTTGACCTCTAGCGGGTCAAGGTCACATATTTAACACCTCCCACTCACGCCATTGTGTTCCTCTCGTCAAGGGCTTTCCAATGGTATATGACCCATCCGGATTTGCGTCCCACCTTTTGGTAAAGTTCAACCGACATTTCCACGAAACTATCCTCGTAAAATAATTTAAGTTAAATCTAGAAATTCCCGGAAATACCACTTTATGACGGTCAGTGCCATGCATTCATTAGCAAACGTGCGACCTTTGCAACGTTCACTAAAAACGCCATCGGTCATATACCTGCGCTGGTGACGTTCTAGCCACCCTTACAGACTTGACCAGCAGCCCTGATTGGCTGTTGCCGACTACACAAAATTACTATATAAATCCGATACCTGTACATACACGAGACATTCTAATAAGTATCGTTCTTCGAAACGGAACGCTGTCAAATTCAACGTAGAAATAAACTATCCAAACTGTTAAAGTTAAACGTAGTTAAACGTTATTCGTGGCATTCTACTTATTTTTTCGCACCACCCACAAATATTCCAGTAATATTAATTTATCACTCGAAGCGTACGAGTATTACCACATATCCGCACGCACTGAACACTTAGCGTTCTCATTCCAGCAATCAATTCATACACGCGATCGGGTTAGGGACCGACTGGCGCCCACGCGTGAAAAAGAGGAGAGTATCGATGTTAATTTCAGCAATACCGTAATCTTTGCGCTTTTGCGCAGTTAGCCTGAGGAGACCCCTACAATGCGAAGCACTGGCTAACCACGCCGCGAACGGTGTTTATGATACCTCTCCTCGGTCGAAGCCGAGTTTTTCTATCTCGAATTCTATTACTACGCAGTTGAGCACGACGATAGCTTCAAGGAGGGGTTTTAACTAAGAAAAGAATTGAGAAGTATGCGAAGAATGACAGGATAGAAAAGACAAAAGTAGAATAATTATAAGCTCAAACTTTTCCCTGTGCATTTCCCACATGAAGAAGTTTCTTACAACCCGAAGGTTTGATGGGAAAGCACAGAGTCAAGGAGAAATTAAAGAAAGGTGAAGTAGTAATTCACCCTCCCCACGCCCCTTACATGAGGAGACTCCTACAACCCGAAGGCTGGATAAGGGAACGTGAGGCGGACAAATTTGTAAAATTTTTCCGGACGTGACATAGCTCCTGCTCCATGCAATATTTTAGATAAATTACTCAGCGTAAAACTTTCTCCCTCATTTAAGAAGTGATTTAAATACCTTTTTGCTTTTCCTTTTAAACAAAAATCATGAAATTTTGCTAGATCATCTGTTGCTCCACACAACATACTACATAGATGACCAGGCATAAAACCGGCCTTATAGAAATCATCTAAAAGTTCTGTCCTTTTTCCTTTCTCGTTAAAACAAACTATGTAATCTTTCTAAAACAGAAGAAGCACGAACTCCTGTTCCACATAATGCAGAGGATAAGTTACTTGACATAAAACCTGCAGCATAGAAATCATCTAAAAGTTCTGTTCTTTCTCCTTCGTCATTAAAACAAATATTATACAATCTTTCAAAAGCATCTTTAGCTTTAGCTCCTGCTTTACTTAAAATACCGGATATATTATACAGCGTAACACTTCTTTCCCCATCTTTTTTCTTAATAAAATGCTTTAAATGCTGTTTTTTATTTCCTTTTGCATCAAACCAAAAATCATATAACTCCTTAAAAGCTTTAGGAACATTAGCTCCTGCCCCATGCAAAATACTGGATATTCTAGTTAGATTTACTCCTTCTTTTTCTAGAGTTTTTAAATATTGTGTTTTATTTCCTTTGCGACGACAGCCGCGGATCGGCGTCGCGCATCGTGGGCCCCCACCGCGGCGGCATCCCCACTCCCGAGTAATTAGACTATAAGTAGGACCGATCGATGCGCGGATCGATGAGTTGCCTCGGGGCTTCGGCCCCGAGGGGACCTCCTCGGAGGTCCGGACCGGAGCACCAGAGCTCTCGACGCCATGGCTGACCTGGCGAAGAGATCTCTGGCCAACGGGCCGTAGCATTGCACTACGCTACGACCTGGCAGCTCCCCTAGGTCCAGCGGCCGTAGGCGCCTAGCCTCGTCAGTCCCGTGGTTGAGCCGGGGTGACCAAGCTAGTGCGCGTTCATAATCTCTGCTGGTGCTTCCGCGGGGATTCCGAACGCTAGCTTACTCGGCACCGCAATTTGCCTTTGGCAGCCCATTCCGTCCAGCTTTGTGGCGTTACCCAGGCTGGCCAGGATTGGTCGTCGACTCGTTCGCTGTTCGGTTCTACCTCGGCGTACGAGAAGACGAGCCGCGTGAGGCAAGCGGGCCGCAACTCCACCGCAGCGCGAAACACCGCAGCGCGATTGAATAAACACCGTCGGCCCAACCGGGCCAATCTTATCCCGCCTCTACCTCCTTTGCGTTTGCGTACGTTTGCGTTTGTTTGCGTTCGCGCTCCGTTCAGCGCTTTCACTCCGCGCTCCGACATCGCGCCGTTAGTTGTAAGACCGCGTAGCGATGGCTACGACCTGCGCTAGAATTAAGGCCGCGTACTTTCTGTGACGGACCAGGTTCCGACCGTAGTTCATAAGTCCTGTACATTAGGCTTAAGCTTGGCTCCACGCGTCTAACCACCAGACGATACTCTGATTGTAGCTCCCGAGGCAGGAGAGCACCGCCCGACCAGCCGGCGAGGGCAACCGCCGCTAGACGCCCCACTCTTTTCCTGAATAAATATTTATTTTTTTCTACTAACACCGACTCGTTATTTACCGACCTGTTCCCATGCGAACCCTGGCACGGGGAAAACCGCCGCGGTGCGCAACGCCGTGCGCACCGAACCGACCGACCCCGTTACACCTTCATCATTAAACCAAAGGTCATATAAGTCTTTAAAAGCTTTAGAAGTATTTGTTGGGTTTTTAATTTTAAGGAACAACGACACGTGTCTGATTAAATAGAAAAATAATAATGCTTTATTGTTTAAAGCAAATACAACATAAACTAAACAAAATAAAATAACTTTCAGAACTAACAAAATCTTGATTTTAAGCTACCACGAGCTGCGCAGTTTTTATAAATCTCTTTATGCTGTCTTTTAATCGCGAAGTAACAAAAATGAATGAAAGATACAGCCTTCCGGCTTACACTTATATAAACTTGTACGCGATGCGTGGGCGCAACTTACAAATTGGGCGCCAAATTTGAGGTTACTTCCAACACACCCCTTTAATCTCAAATTCTTTTATTAAACAATACTATTGCTTTTAATTTACTAATTTATCCCTGAATGTCTTAAATTTGATTGCATTCAAGGGTTTTGTAAAAATATCAGCAATTTGTTCGCTAGTGCTACAATAAACAATATTTATATCATTCTCTTTCACCTTTTCGCTGATAAAATGGTATCTTACGTCTATATGCTTAGATCTACGATGAAAAATACCGGCCTTAATTAGTTTTAACGCACTCTGATTGTCTATATACATTTCTGCTTTTATGGGTACGCCAATCAGCTCCTCTAAGAGTCTCTTTATAGCAGTCGGCAGCTGAGATAAATTCTGCCTCTGTACTTGATAGCGCGACAATGGGTTGTTTTTGCGATGCTCAACTAATTGGTCCGCCGCAGAATTCCACGATGTAGCCCGTTGTGCTTTTCCGACTTTCAGTGTTCCCAGCGTAATCCGCATCACAGTACGCTTTTAGAATGGTTGAGTCTGAGGATTTGGTGTAGACTATTCCCAGATCCTTCGTACCCTGAAGATATCTTAAAGCTCGCTTAACATTAATAACATCAGTGTTGGTAGGATTTTGAACTTTCCTGCTACTATACGTTACCGCGTAATTTAAGTCAGGCCTGGTTTTGGCCGTGAGGTATAGTAGACTTCCAACAGCTTCTCTGTATGGAAAATCCCTTCTTGCTCCTTTTTCCTCCGTTGTGGTATTAGGTAGCATAGGAGTATCAGCGGGTTTCGCATCCGTCATGCCATACGTCTCCAAAATTTTTGTTGAGTACTGTCTCTGACTAATTTTTATTCCCTTTTTCATTCTTTTTATCTCCAGTCCTAGAAAAGAAACTGGATTCATGTCAAAAACAATTTCAAATACATTTTTTTGCTTTATTAATAGGTTTTTTAAGTAATCGATGTTTTTTCCAAATAATATGCCATCGTCCACATGAATTGCTAGTGTCACGTGGAAAGTTCACAGGTTTTTAAATGAATGGCACTTTTAAAGGTTTAGCACTTTATTTTTATAATATGATCCCGACTGACTCTGCTTATGTCCGGTAAGGTCTTTTATAATGTCGTTGGTGGTGGAGAAGGGGCCGATGATTGACAAGGTGGGATGTCCGTGAGAACGCGTCTTATCGAATACTTAAGTAGGTGGTCGCAATATGATGTTTAGGTGTCCGGTCGTGAGGAGTTCAATTGTTCGAATATCGATCGTTTAGGCGGGTGGCCGTAACACGATGTTTGTCCGATCGTGGGAAGAATTCGATTAACGTACGTTTAGGCGGCTCGTCGTAACACTAGAAAAGCAGTGTTATCTTCCTTTTTAAAGATGCATTTTTCCATATTTGATTGTATTAAGCCATGATTCTTGAGTACTTTTGTGAACTTTTTGTTCCACGCATGAGAGGCCTGTTTCAGCCCATATAAGGCCCTTTTAAGTTTACAGACCTTAGTATCCCTTTCCTCGTATCCTTCTGGCAGATGCATAAATATTTCTTCTTCCAGTTCACCATGTAGAAACGCTGTTTTAACGTCAAACTTTACAAAGTCCCATTTATGCTTTGATGCTAATGCAAATAGCATTCTCAGTCCAGCAGTGTTGACGACAAGGCCATATAACTTGTCGTAGTCAATATTGCCCTTTTGCTCAAAGCCTCTTGCCACTAGCCTTGCTTTGTATCTTCCATCATCTTTTAATTGGAAAACCTGGTACGTGAGAAACACATAATCGTTGTATCTCGAGGGGAATCTCCTTTCTCTGTCTGAGGTTCTTCTGGTATTTCCACTTGAGGGTTGAATTTCCGTATCATCGTTCATTATTTCCATTTCTTCATTCACAGGCTCACCGGCCTGGTGTTCTTCAGCACTCTCCATACTTTCGTCAGAGCTTTCGGCTTCAGTGACTGTTTGAACATTTGGATGTTCTTCCTCCTCAATCTCTTGTAGGTAACCTTTTCTAAATGCAGTTACACCCCTTTTCACCTCGGGTTCCTTTTTACTGTTATCCTCATCAAAAATCACATCATGGGATACAATCACTCTTTTTTTAACTGGATCCCAGTCTATAGCCACTTTGTGTGTAACCTATAAATTTAACGGCTATGCTTCTATCTTCTAGCTTTCTTAGCTGTGTTAGATCCTTTGCATAGGCTCTGCAGCCAAAGGTTCTGAGGTGCTTTAGGTTTGGTTTCTTTCCGCTCCACATTTCAAAAGCGGTTTTATTGTTTGTCTTATTCGGACTTCGATTATGAAGGTACGCCGCCACTTTAATTGCTTCACCCCAAAAGATTTTATTGACTTCTAATTCTGCAAGCATCGCTCTAGTTTTCTGAATCAGAGTCCGATTCAGCCTCTCAGCTTTCTCATTTAGCTGGGGGGTATACGGTGGAGTGTAGTTTATAGTGGTTCCTCTCTTTCTATACCAAATTTTAAAATCGAGATTGGTGTACTCCCTGCCGTTGTCGCATCTTATCTCTATTATTCTTCTGTTATACTTGTTCTCGACTTGAGCTGCATATTCTTTTAACCTCGCAAAAACTTCTGCCTTTGATTTCATTAAATAGAGCATCACATAATTCGTATAATCATCTAGAAATGTGAGGCAATACCTATTTTCATCCCACGTTGCAAGGGTAATTGGTCCAATGACATCCGTATGGACAATTCCGAGCGATTCGACAGCCCTTTTTCTACCTTCTCCAAAGGCTGTTCTGGCATGATTCGCCATTACGCAAGTTTTACATGTTTTTAGTGCGTCATTGAAATCCTTTTTACATAGGTTTATTCCATCTGACAGATTCAGCAGCTTCATCATATTGTCTGTACCCAAGTGACCTAATCGCCGATGCCAAAGTTCCACCACAGATTGGCTTTTAGCAGTCATCGCCTTTTCTAGAAATTGACTTGGTTTTACAACGTATAGGTCTGCACCGTTTCTTTTTCCTTCAAAGACTACCGTCTCATCTTTGGACACCATTACCTTACCCTTGTGAAAACTCACAGTTCCACCTTTCTTCTTTATGGCACTTACAGATAGGAGATTATTTCTTAAATTAGGTATAAATAGTACATTTTTTAACTCACAGTGTCCAAGATCGATCTCTCCTTTCTTTTCAGACACCATGTTTGCTTGCTTGTCTGCCAAGCCAATCCTTGTTGTGACCTGCTCTACCTTTTCAAGCATGGTTTCATCATTGACCATATGTAAAGTCGATCCGGAATCAATTATCCAGCTTCCTACCTCTTGTGTGTCAGTGGCTAGAAAGGCAGTTTTATTGTTATTATTACAATCATCTTTGGTAGTGTTATCACGTTTCTTCCAGAAATAGCAATTTCTTTCATTGTGGTTGTGTTTACCACAAATTTTACATGTTTTTATGGGATTCTTCCCGTAGTCTCTTGTTGATTGACTGCTCCTGCGGTTATTGTTCCCACCTGCGTACTGCTCTCCTTTGCCAGCATCATCCTTTTTACACGTATTTGCGAAATGACCTTTCATCCCACACTTACAGCATTTTCTTTCAGTAACTCTGAAGGTTACAGTCTCTTCTGAATCTTGCTTATTCCTAGCCTCTTCGGCCAACAACCTTGCAGAAAGGTTTATTAGTGTGCGTTCTGAAAGAGGTGTAGACTCCCAGGCGCTAACAAAGTATTTGTAATTCTCCGGCAAACTTTTCAATATTTTAGAAATGACCATCGCATCACTTATGCTTTCACCTAGTGATTTTAATTTAAAGACAGCCTTTTTTTATTCAGTAATATAAGTGGACATACTAGTACCGCTCTTCATTTTATATTCAAAGAATTCCTGCATTAGGTTGCATTTTTGATGCTCAGTATCTCGTTCATAAGTTGCTTTTAATCTAATAATTCTTTTTGCACGTGGATCCTTCCTTTTCCAGTCCGCAGTCTCCTTCAGCGTGGCTGATGGTTCAACGAGAATAGTATCTAGCAAGTCCGCTGCGTCCATGTGGATTTCAATTTGAAATTTCCACAAAGAATATCCTTCCGCATCCTGAAGTTTTTCAATGTTCTCAGGCACTTCATATATCGTACGTGAAGCACACATTTTATGGATTTTATTCCAATTTTACGTTTTTTGATATTGTCTATTATTTAGCAATATTTGCTCAGCTTTTACGCAACGTTGCTGCAACACTTTTAACAGAAGCACGTGTCGGCCCTGGGCCCATAACCTGTTGGGTTTTTAATTTTAAGGAACAACGACACGTGTCTGATTAAATAGAAAAATAATAATGCTTTATTCTTTAAAGCAAATACAACATAAACTAAATAAACTAAACAGATATATTAGCTATGCCCATTCCATTTTCTTCCAGAGTTTTTAAATATTGTGTTTTATTTCCTTGTTTATCAAACCAAAGGTTATATAAGTCTTTAAAAACTTTAGGAGCATTAGCTCCTGCTCTACTTAAAATACTGGACATTTTAGATGTAGGTTTATTCCTTCTTTTTCTAGAATTTTTAAATATCGCGTTTTATTTCCTTCTTCATCAAACCAAAGATTATATAAGTCTTGAATGGCTTTAGAACAATTGGCTCCTGTTTTACTTAAAATACTGGACATATTAGCTAGATTTACTCCTTTTTCTTCTAGAGTTTTTAAATATTGTGTTTTATTTCCTTGTTTATCAAACCAAAGATCATATAAGTCTTTAAAGGCTTCAGAAAAATTGGCTCCTGCTTTACCTAAAATACTGGACATTCTAGTTAAATTTACTCCTTCTCTTTTCAGAACTTCTAGACATTATTTTCCTTCTTTTTTAATTAAAAAATTTAAGAACTTATTAAACCTAGGTGTATCTTCTCTGCCGACAATACTTTTAACAAATTTTCTTTCTTTACCAGACAAGTTGTTATAATTTTAATGTTTAATTTGAAAAAGAAAATAGTAAAGAACACTTTCGACTAAACGAATATTCCGACACACTCTCGCGGCTGATAACTCTCGACTGACGGTTTCGGTACAAGCGGTTGTGCGCGAATTAGCGAGATAAAAAACAAAGAAGAGAGGGGAGAAGGAGACAAACCATTTGGAGATGTCTCCTTCGCCGTACCATACACACACATTCAAAGTGTCAGAAACAATTATTCAACACAAGTACTGTCTAGATTCATCTTGTAAATCACTAAGAAATTCTGAATTTTCATTACTAGTAACATTTACATCCATGCGTGCCCTTTTTGATGTCTTATTGTCTTTGTTTGTGACAGAACGCTTATGTTTTCCAGAGCTTATATCAATTTCACGATTTTCTTCACCCGGACTCCTTGAACGACCACTTTGTTTGTATGAGAAACTTTCAATATCTTGTAATGGCGTAGAAATGTAAGGTTGAGAAATATTGTTTGAATTTGAACCTACCACATTACCGTAAGCTTCCTCTCTAAAAACCTCTTCGCTTTTCTTCATATCTTTTTTAATATTACTAAGAAGTGGTATAAAATGGTTCCTGTAATTCACTATATAAATAGTATTACCTTTACCTACCTTATCTTTAGTAACATGTAATCCATTTATCTCTTCATCTCTCAATTTTATAATCCTAATTTTTGTGCCATATTTTTTACATATCATTTTTCTTCAATTTCAGGTCTTCCCCATATAACATTTTCCAACTTTAGAATTTTTAATTCTGAACCGGAATTTGCATTTTCAATGCCTTCTACAGTAAATTCAATACGTGGAATATATTCATAAAGTTCTTCACCTTTTTCTTTTAAAGTATTATTCAACCATAAGCCTTTTTCTGATTGATTAACTTGGCGTGTATATTGCTTACAACTTTGCCGCAAAGACCTGTAATCAGACCTTTATCTTTTAACTCGTTCAATCCTTGAGCTACTGAATCAAAGAAACAATCCGCTCCACCTATGGCAGCTCCTATTTTGTACTCTTTAGGTAACGCATTTCTTAGCTCATTTAAAAGGTCCTTGGATTCAATTTTTTGCTTTTCATCTTTTGCCTCTTTTATCTGACAGAAAATAGAAATAGGATCTTTAGTGAGTCATTTTGAAGCTTCTGTTATGTTGTAGCTTTGATCTTGTTGAGCGTGCATAAACTTACCTCTCAATTAGTTGCGTAACTTTCTTTATAATTCTACCAGAATATTTTTATAATTCAATATATTTTTTAGTGGTATAGTTGATAGAAGGGAATTTTAAAGAGAACTTGATTAAACTCAACCATACCAACAGAAAAGATATATTTTTTATCTCGGTTTCCCTTTGCTGATGAATTATGCTACAGCATTGCCTCGAAATAAACAAGTGGTCTCTGCTTCGAAATAAGCAACTCGCTACCTCCTCTTCTTTGTTTGAAGTCGCCCGCAAAGTGAGAGTTACGAGAAATGAGTGAGAGGTCCTTGAAAGCGCGAAGCCGATGTTTAGGGGAATAAATTTCACGCTTGACTGAGCAGTGACAGCGGTTAGTAAAAGAAGGATAGAATATATATAATGCTTTCTCAGTCGGGTATATTTGCTTCGAAATAAAGCATAGTGCGAGAATGAGAGGGCATGCTATATTCTATCCTTGTTCAAAAAATAACATCGCTGCTCGGCCGATCACTTTATGATTTGCCGCTACCTCGGATCTCTCAATCGTTTCTCGCGTTCTCTATCGTCCCGTTTCGAGAACAAAGTCAAGCCGAATAGCAACCTGCTTCGAAATAAGCAACTGTTCGGTCCCGAGTCACTTGCTTAATTCGAAGCATTACTGTACAGTAAAAGCTGGATATATGCAACAAAAGTTTGGCTGGATATACGCAACATCGCTATCCCCTCCACTTGGGGGGATCCCCCTAAGCCGAACCGACCCGTTCGGCGAGGAAACCGTGTAATATGATCCGACCGTAATATCGGTGTGACTAATACTAATTGAACGATAAAACTTTTTTATTTTTAACTTTTTCTTAATTAAACTTTTACTAACGTATTTGTGAGATTTTTCTGATTAAAATGGTACCAAACACGATATGATTTAAATTATATTTATTTATTGAAATAATAATAAAACTGAGTCTCAATCCGACTGCGGAATCAGTCGGACGTGTTATCATTAGCTCGTACCGCTACGCGTTCCGTAGTTCAGTGTTGTTGTGTGCCGCCTCGTAAACAAAGTAATAGCGGTGACTGCGTCACCACTACATAAACCGCTGACATAGGTATACGTACATTGTACGTATCACCATGTCACAGAAAGCGAACCACCACAGTGATAAATTCCAATCCACGTATCCTTTCCAAATTAACGAAAACCAAAGTACCCAATCGGAAAATAGCCAAAGCACCCAAAAACTCAATATGACCGAAATCAAAACCTCATACGCAAACATAACGGAACACGAACACACTCCAACCCAAGATCAAGCTATTATTCTACAATCAATCGATGGTATCACAATTAAGGAGTACGCCCGGGCAATCGGTAATATAACAGGACCCAAAGCCATAAAATACCTATCAAGGATCTCCAACGGAAGGATCTGTATGTACCTAGATAGCAAAGAAACAGTCACAAACACAAAACTTCTAAACACAAAACAATCTCAATAAACAGCGAAAACATAGAAATCCGCCCAATGGTGCTACCGGCCAAACGAATCATATTATCAAATATAGCTCCTATAATTCCCAATTCAGTTATCGAAAACGTTTTTAGGAAAAACAACATCAAACTATACTCAAAAATTACACCACTGAAAGCAGGAATCGCCGACCCAGACCTGTCGCTTATATTAAGCTTCAGGAGACAAGTCTACGTAGATCCAGAGGACGCAAAACAAATCCCGGGTTCCTTCCTTATTATGTTAGAAAACACCACCTATAGAATATTTGCTACCACGGAGAAACAGACATGTTTTAGGTGCAACCAAGAAGGACATATTGCTACGCAATGTCCTACTAGCCTAAACCCAAACGGAACCAGTTCACAAACAGATTCAAATCCGCAACCCGTTCCACCCCCCTACATCGAAGATCAGCCCAATCAACTAGAAACAGAAATACCAAATACACCAGAACATATAGAACCAATGTCGCTGCATGTCTCTAATACAACAGAACCAGTAGAAACAACGACGGATGACTCGATTGCGGACAAGACAAGAAGCAAAAGACCGTTATCCATAACCTCAGAAGAAAGCAACACAAAACCAGTGAAACTAAGCGACCTAGAATTCAAGCTACCAGACGCAGCACTCAAAAAGCCCTATAGGAACCCTGAACCAGCCCTTAAGAAAACAAAACGACCCCCATCCCCTGCCTTCTCGCTAGACAAAATGGACGATATGCTGGAACCGGCTAAGAATTACATCGAAGACCAAAGTAACAACCACGTGCTAAACTATATACAATTCAAAAGCTTCCTAGAAAACGCAATCACAGCTTCAAACCCGCTAGAAATTTCCAAAATATACACAACCAATACCCCAGCCTTAGCCGAAATGATCTTAAGAATACATCCCTTGCTCATAGGACGAAGCATAAAAAACAGACTACACAGATTACACAAAAAAATAACCCAGTACTCCCTAACAAAAACAACTGCTAATTGGACATCGGAAATAGAAAGCGACTCCGCTTAACCATAATGAAACACATAATCCAATGGAACATAAACAGCTTCTACAGCCAATACGAACAACTACAACTCCTCTTAAACCAACACAACCCATCCATTATTTGCCTACAAGAGACAAACCTCAAAAAACACCACGACCCGAGACTCAAAGGGTTCACCATCTTCAACAAAAATAGAGATGGCGATAACCATGCGAGTGGGGGAGTACTCATTGCAGTATCTGAAAAATTCAACGCCACCGAAATCCCGCTAAACACAAACCTGGAAGCAATTGCAGTTACAGTACCATTCCCAAGTAAGATACACATATGCAACATATACCTCCCAAACAGCCATCCTCTAAACCTAGTTGACTTAGAAACGCTTATAAACCAACTCGCAACACCCTTTATACTAATGGGCGATTTCAATAGCAACCATTATCTTTGGGGATCATACAACACAGACGACCGTGGGAAAATAATAGAGAAATTACTAGAACACCCCAACATCACTCTCCTCAACTCAGGCAGCCCGACACATTTTACAGTAAGCACTGGGAAAATGAGTGCGATCGATCTAACACTTTGTAGTAGCAAATTGACGCAATCCCTAGAATGGGAATCCTTACCAGACCTCCATAACAGCGACCATTTTCCCATAAAAGTAACTTACTTAGATATTACCCCACAACTGCAAAACAAACTCACTGCCAAATGGAACATAAAAAAAATAGACTGGTGTGCATACAAAACAATAATCTCAAACACCCTTCGAGAAGCCCCAAATAGCGAAATCGATCCAAACAACATCAATCAAGAAATCGAACGACTGGAAACAATCATCAAAAAGGCAGCGCAGGAATCTTCTGGGCCAGTAAAACCAATAAGCACAAAAAAAAGAAACACACCTTGGTGGAACGAGAACTGCTACGCAGCCATGAAAGAAAGCCACAGGGCCTTTAACATAGCAAAGAGACAACCAACAACAGAAAACTTAACGAGCTTCAAAAAATATCGAGCAAAATTCCGCAAGATAATAAAAGAAAGCAAAAAAAAATCTTGGCAATCATATATATCAACCATCACAAACAAAACTCCAACAAATGCCCTATGGAAAAAAATCAGAAACATCACTGGAATAGAATCATGCACAGAAATCCAATTTCTCGACTTAGGAGATAACAAATTTATAACTAACCCACAGGACATAGCTGACACCCTTGCAGAGACATTCCAAAAAAATTCAAAAAATAAAAACCTAGAAGAAAGAGCCCACACACCCTCCCCGCACCTCACAAACCGAAGAAACGACACCAGCCCCCCAGTAAACGCTGGCTCCGAATCCACTCTAAATTCAACCATAACCCTAGAAGAGCTAACAAACATTCTCCGCACCACCAAAAATTCCGCTCCTGGTCCTAATAACATACCTAACAAACTAATAAAAGAATTGCCACAAATCGGTACCGAGCATCTCCTCAAGATCTGCAACTCCATTTGGGTACATCAAGTATTCCCGGACAACTGGAGGAAAGCCACGGTTATACCCATACCCAAACCAGGCAAAAATAAAAACAAACCTGAAAGCTACAGACCGATTGCTTTAACAAACTGCATTTGTAAAATATTAGAAAAAACAATTAATAAAAGGCTCAGATGGTTCCTCGAATCGAATAATATGCTGTCACCTAACCAATACGGATTTAGACAGCACCGCTCGACCACCGACGTACTGTTAAATCTAGAGACAAGCATATGCGAAGCATTTCTAAAGAACGAATTCCTCATTACAGTCTGTTTAGATATCGAAAAAGCATACGACTCAATACCAAGGACCACAATCAACAACGCCCTTACCAAAACTGGACTAAACGGCAATATATTAGCTTTCATAAAAAATTTCCTTACAAACAGAACCATCCAAGTGAGAACAAACGGAACCCTCTCCAAACCAACCATCATACACAACGGAGTACCACAAGGTTCGGTAATCAGCGTTACGCTTTTCTTGATAGTAATCAACGACGTTTTAAATAACATCAAGCCGCCAATCCAAGGAACCCTGTTCGCGGACGATCTAACAATAACCTGCAGCGGGAAAAGCCTAATCACCATCATTGAGCTCCTACAGGAAAGTATAAACGACCTCCTGTCATGGTCCGAGAAATCAGGCCTCAAATTTTCCCCCCTAAAAACAAAATACATCATCTTCTCTAGAAAACGCAAGAGAACCATACTTCCCCCTAAGCTTTATATACGGAACACTGAAATCGAAAAAGTAAACAGCATCAGAATACTTGGACTCATCTTTGACCATAAACTAACGTGGGGGCCACACATGAAATACCTAAAAACCACATGCTCAAAAAAAATGAACATCATAAAAGCCTTGGCAAATAATAGCTGGGGAGCTGACCAAGAGATTATCATACAAACGTACCAGGCACTAATTAGATCCAAACTCGACTACGGGTCAATAGTTTACTCGGCTAAACCCAACACCCTGAAAACAATCGACTCAATTCATAATGCCGCCCTACGAATAGCTACTGGAAGCTACAGGACCAGCCCAATAAATAGCATACTATTTGAATCAAAAAAACCTTCACTAGAACAAAGAAGGAAATACCTAAGCCTAAAATACGCAGCCAAAATGTCCTCCATCCCAATAAACCCCACATACAATAACATATTCACAAATAGATATACTCACCTACAAGCTAAAAAACCCAAATCCCCGAACCCATTCTATGGAAGAATTGCCAAATACGATAGCTTCACCGTGATCACATCGACTCCAACCATTCCACGTAAATATAGGAAAACAGCTCCTTGGACCCTAAAAATCCCAGAAACCAACGTTGATCTCGCAAAACTTCCCAAAAACCAAACAAGCAGCATTGAACACAGATTAAACTTCCAACAACTGTGCAACAAATATCCCAACCACCAAACGATATACACCGATGCATCAAAGACCGACCAGGCAGTCGGTGCCGCCATCGTCACGAACAACACGACCAAAAAGTTCCACCTTCCAGCAGCCTCATCTATCTTTACAGCAGAAGCTTGGGCAGTTCTTGAGGCCCTTAACTATATACGAAATAACAATCTCCAATCTTCTATCATCATTACAGATTCCATGAGCGTAACCATGGCAATAGCAAACATAAATTGCGAAACCAAACACGAAGTCATCCTAAACATTCAATATACCTATACGGACCTTATCAATAACGGCAAACAAATATCCCTAGTCTGGGTTCTATCTCACCAAGGTATTAAAGGAAACGAAGCAGCTGACACAGCCGCTAAAGAAGCAACAGCACTTCCGCCAGACGACAACCGCAGACAAGTCCCATACCAAGACCTCATTGTCACATTACGCCATATCGAACAACAAGCATGGAATAAAATATGGATCACCTCTAAGAAAATAAAAACACACGACGTTACCAAAGACTTCTACCAAACAATGCCTAGCAGCAATATGAAACGGAAAGACAGGATAGTCATGGCCAGGCTGAGAACAGGTCACTGCAGACTTACACACGATTACCTAATTAAAAAAACGGAACCACCAATGTGCATCACCTGTAAGAAAAACATCACCACCAACCACCTACTATTCGAATGCAGAAGACACAACACCCAAAGACAAAAATACGGAATAACATCGACAGAAGTCCTCACAACTCAGAAACTTGTAGAAAATACCCTAAACTTCCTAAAAGACATTAACATCTACCATAGTATATAACAGGACAGAAACGAAGGAAACAGGTCCTAGTCGTCGCTAATGACCCGTAGGTCGATGCGACGTAAAACCCGAAATAAAAAAAAAAAAAAAAAAAATAATAATAAAACTGTACATACATATGTATAAGGCAGGCCGTACACCAAAGATACATCAAACACGCAACATGCAACATGCAACACGTCGCATGTTGTGTACGAACGTAGAATAGGTATCGCGGCACGATACAAACGATTTGTACGGACGCAGAATCGACACCAAGACTGGATAAATGCAACGTTTAAATGCCCAAAATCGACACCTCGGCTGGATATATGCAACGTTTGAAACCCGAGCCGGCACCGCAACCGGTTTTAATTTCCAATCCTCCTTTGCTTTTCGCCAACTTTTAACATCAATTTTAGCAAGTAATTATAATTCAAACTATATCGTGTTTGGTATCATTTTAATCAGAAATATCTCACAAATGCGTTAGTAAAAGTTTCATTAAGAAAAAGTTAAAAATAAAAAAGTTTTATCGTTGAATTAGTATTAGTCTCACCAATATAACGGTTCGGATCGTATTATACGGCTTCCTCGTCGAACGTCTCGGTTCGCTTAGGGGGATCCCCCCAAGTGGAGGGGATAGCGATGTTGCATATATCCAGCTTTTACTGTACGTGCAATTGTTTACGATCAAGGCTTTGGTAACAGATCGGTAGTAGATCGAAAAGTATCTCTTGATAATACTTGGCGATTGCGAGGTCGGCGAATCTGGAGCCGGCAAATGCGGGGCCGGTGAATCTGGAACCGGCGGTTGCGGGGCCGGTGAATCTGGAGCTGTCAGTTGTGGGGCCACTGGAATCAGTTATGGGGAATGTGGAGCCAGTGGAGACCCGTATAAAGGTACATTATTGTTACATATACAAAGTGTAATGTACAATTACATGACATCCTCCATACAACTTAGTAATGAGTGTATGTGCTATGTACTTTTCTCGATATTCTCGATATACTTTTATACATTTCGTTTGTATGTGAGTGTGTGTGTAAATTATGTGTTATGAACGTGTTACGCCCCGGCGGAAAATTTGAAATTTATCCGCCTTGCGTCCCTTATCAAGCCCTTTTGGGTTACGAGAGTATCTCATGTAAGGGGCGTGAGGTGGGTGTTTCACTTTTCCGCCAATCTTTTCATTCCTCCTCGACCTTGTACATTGTTGTCAAGCCTTTCGAGGTTACGAGGATTTCTCATGCGGGGGTGTACAAGGAAGAGTTTGAGTTTAATTCTTTTCTATTTTTGACTTCTTCTATCGCTTTCTCTTCTTTATCTGCTCTACCCCGGACTCGTGTATCTTGTCAAGCCCTTTTAGGGGTTACGAGAGTATCTCATGCGAGGTACACGAGGAAAGGTTTTCTTCTATTTCTTTCTTTACAGTAGTTTACGTGACCCTCCTTGAAACTATCGTCGCCAACCATAGTAACATAATACATTTCTAACAGCACACAAAAACTCGGGTTTAGCTCGAGAGAGAGAGAGCCGTAGCACAACGTCAGCGCTACGCAGTTAGCCAGTGCTTCGCATTTTGGGAATTCCCCTGCTAGCTGCGTAGAAACGGGAAAACCGTAATAACTTCTTTGTTAGAACACTTTTTCTCTCTCTAGTGCACAAAGCGTCAGCCGGTCCAACAAGGATCATTATTACCTGATCGGAATGATAACGTGAAAGAGTGGACGAATGAATATGCATTTAAACAACGAAAGTAAGGAATGAGAACCCTTATGAAAGCGAACGTCGCGAACGTTCGACCGCCGTTCGAAAATCAATTATATTTTACTTTATATTTGGATTACATTCTTATTGTAATAATCGATACTACATAAATATATGAAAAATAAGAATATTTGGTACGAAAAAAATAGAAGAATTGAATAAGAAATAATTCGAAAATTACTGTTATATTTATAAAATAATGATTCTTAAACCAAAAATACCATTTAACTGTTAACAGAGACTCGTCTCTTAGTAGACTGTTAACAGGTGGGCATTTTTACCTTTGTCACAGGTAGCGGAAGTAGGCATTTTTAACAGAGAATGACATACTAAGCGCTTAATGTATTCCCTTATTCTGCCATGTGGTGAACAGAGTCGAACGTCCCAAACGTTTAAAACCTTGCGTCCTTGCATGCCCGCGCTGACACTGGCGCACTCAAGGGGGGCTAAGGGGCTCTAGCATCCCTCAAAGAAAAAGGAAGAACAGAAAATTTTCCAAAATCTGTTCCTAATTAAAGTAGTGTTACTGTTTATGTAACATATTAATAACATTGTTTTTTGTATTAAAAATATTTTTATTCATTCAACGTAGCTCCCTCCAAGAATAAATCCTGAGTGCGTCATTGTCCGCACATACCCCATCATGGCCCATCATTGACTGTCCTTTCTTTTTCAAAGTTTTATGGCAAGACTTTATAACAGAAAACAGACCCCGAATATTCTGAAAGGTTGCAGACTGTGTCAAGCAATGGACAAATTTTTATATACTATTGTGATAATTTTAGATATTTATTTTTTCATGGAATACAAATCTAACACTGAAAATACCGCGACTTAGTTACTTTTACAATTTTTGCTATCAATCGCACCGTGTGTTGCTCGACTCACAATCAAACATGGAATAAAGTTAAAAATAAAAAAGTTTTATCGTTGAATTACTATTAGTCAGACCGATATTACGGTTCGGATCATATTATACGGCTTCCTGGTCCAGCGTCTCGGTTCGCCTAGGAGGGTCCCTCCAAGTGGAGAGAATAGCGATGTTGCACTTATCCAGCCAATCTTTTGTTGCACTTTTCCAGCTTTTACAGTAATGCTTCGAAATAAGCAAGTGGCTCGGGACCGAACAGTTGCTTATTTCGAAGCAGGTACCTATTCGGCTTGACTTTGTTCTTGAAACGGGACGATAGAAAACGCGAGAAACGAGTGAGAGATCCGAGGTAGCGGCAAATCATAAAGTGATCGGCCGAGCAGCGATGTTATTTTTTGGACAAGGATAGAATATAACATGCCCTCTCATTCTCGCACTATGCTTTATTTCGAAGCAAATATACCAGACTGAGAAAGCATTATATATATTCCATCCTTCTTCTACTAACCGATGTCACTGCTCAGTCGAGCGTGAAATTTATTACCCTAAACATCGGCTTCGCGCTTTGATGGACCTCTCACTCGTTTCTCGTACCTCTCACTTTGCGGGCGACTTCAAACAAAGAAGAGGGGATAGCGACTTGCTTATTTCGAAGCAGAGACCACTTGCTTATTTCGAAGCATTACTGTATCTCCGAAAGGTTTGTAAAACGAACTTAACTCGAATCACCGAAGAAATAATAATAGCATCGACTAGATAAAATATCATCTCATGTCTCATGATACAGTTCAGCACCGAACCTCGTCGTTGGTAAACTCACTGATTCTGGTTCTGTTTCTTACTGCGGCCGCAATATATTCTAGAGGGCGTAAGAAAACGTCGAATTTTTTCGCAGCCGCGAACTCCCATAAGGATGGCAGTCTTTAACAGTATCTCGTCGGTGTCTATAGTCACTGGGTACAGCATGCCGTTAGTTGGATGCAATAACTGAGGTGACGCTGAAATCATTTTCTGTTCGGCCTAATTTTCGATGAAACATTGACTGTTTTACCGACGCGGAATTCGGAGTTCGGTTCATAATTCTTTAAATTAAACTTATTCCTCTGGGCATTCTCAGCTAAACGCTAAACACAGTATTCCACATTCTACTGATTTACTTTGACTGACCTAATATTTTTTTGTTTATTAAGGAATTACCATTCACAATTTATACACTTTTTTCATCTTTCACATACGCTAACACTTCCGCCATTATGAATGTTATTTGTCATTTTTATCTTATATTTATTACGATTCGGCTATACTCGGTTCGATTCGGTAATGTTCTGCTTAGCAGCAGGAAGTAACTGCTCAGTGTATATACATATATATATATAGATATCAGAACGGTGTTTGATTGATGTTTTTTTAAAGTAGAAATTAAATTGTTTTAATTATAAATTATACAATTAATGAAATCTCAATGACTTAAAGAATGCTGGGTCGTATGAAATTAATTCTATGCTTTTGCATCGTTTTATGCGCATCGAGCATTAAAGCTGATGATAATCAAGTTTCTTTAACCAAACTTGGAGGAAAAGGACCGACTTTAAAATTCTTATACTGGTGAGTTTTACGAATTTAATTGGAAATAGTAATCTTTACTTTATTTAGTTAATATGTTGTTATTTTATTTATATTTTTGATTAAATTTTTTATCTTTCTTTTTTTCAGTTATTCTTGCGGTTATAGAAGAGTTTATGAAGATTATGTCAATATCCTTCGTCAGAAATATCCAGAGCTACAAATTGAGGGAGATAACTATGATCCTCCTGGATACAATATGCTTATTGCTAATATACTAGTAATATTAAAATATTTGTACACTACGTGAAATATTTAATACCTATTAACATATTATTTTTTTGGTTTAGGCTTTTGTTAAAATTTCCTTAATAGTGTTAATTATAAGTGGAATCGATCTTGGGCAGCCATTACCATCGCTATGGCAATGGTGTATAGATAATCGATTTTATTCCTGTATCATGATATTTTTCATTTGTAACGCAATAGAGGGGCAACTCATATCATCAGGAGCTTTTGAAATATACTTCAATGGTAAACAATATCTCTACTGATTATTGTAAATACAGATACATAAAGTTTTATGATAGTATTAAGAATGTTTTTTATAATGTTTTAGATGTCCCTGTATGGTCGAAACTGGAAACTGGTAGAATACCACAACCACTTGAACTTTACCAAATAATAGATACTCATTTAAATATGCAATATGCAGATGTAGATATAGGATAGATTAATTTTAATAAGAAATTCAATGGCATTTTTATTTGTACCAAATGTTATTCACTGTAGTTGTAGACCTTTTATTTCTATAACTTCAAAAAATTCTTTTATTGTTGAGTCTTGCCTATGAATTGTCCATTATAAATGTTATTATTATTCATTTTGGTTATAATAGTATATACAAAATAGATATAGTTCTCATAAGCAAAACTGAAATAAAACTTTTTAACATTGCTTAGAAAAAAGTTTTCATTTTTATCATAAGAGTTGAGTTAGAAAATAAAGTAAATAAAATAAAGCACAGAAAAATTAGTTTATATTTTTAAAATATATCTAACATTCCTATTTCAAGATTAACAAATTAAAAGAAATAACTCTTTAGTAATTTTTTTAAGCACTTATTATTTTTGCAAACAAATTTAGTTCAATAATAAAATCCACCCATAAAATGTGTTACATATTTTAATTTTAATCTATAGAAAAATAGATATATAAAATATAGTGTAAAAATAAATAATTTTATCATTAAAAATTGATATGCGTAAAAGTATGTAATTTTTTTCAAAATAATTATTTTATTCAGCAAAAATTTAAAAATACAGTAAAATATTGAAAACAGTATTTCCATAAATAGTGCGATGGAAAATATTCATCAAACGTTTTTTGATTTTACATAGGGACAGAAATTTACGAAGAAAAATACTCTTTAAATTTACGGTTTATGTAAAAGTATTAATCATAGTAGAAATTTTATGTACATCAAAATATTTCAAATCGTTGCTTTATACAAATACGTATGAACATGTGCACTTATACTTAAATATTGCGCCTATTGAAAGAAAGAGGGAGAAACTATGATTTTAGAAAAGGATCATTAAAGATACTACAGTTCTCCTCCCTTTTTCTCCTTTCCGATGATTTATACAGTAGTTAGTTTTACAATCGGATCATGTATTCTTAGGTTTGTGGATTTAACGAAGACTCAAGGCTACCAACAAATTCAGTGTGCTTCTTAATCATGAAAGATTTTTTCTAAGGAAGAAAAAGGATCATAGTAAGGTCTGACATAAGTACGCGTGCTTCACAATAAAAAACGGTGGAAGTTAGACAACTAGTCGAGAAAAGCATAATTTGCTTGTTATTAATGATATTATTGAAGAATCAGTATATTTATACAAAAGCGTTACGAAATAAAATCAAGTTGCAATTTCTAACCCGGTTTCTGTACGATAGTTCAAATACGAACTGAAAATTAAGAGAAAATTTGAAATATTTTGCTGTTTCATTCTTTTGCTTCGCGTATTTTCAACGCAGTAGAGTTTACGTTTGAATCAATTTTGTATTTGACACGACAAAAGATTGATTATAAATATTACGTGCTAATAATGCGTCAAAGCGTAAAATGAAAATCTAAGCGGCAGTTTAAATGATAACTCAAATGTGGTATCTTGTCAATTTCTCGTGTGAAAAGACAAAGTTCGTAGTTGTCAAATTATTAAATAGCAGCAACAGAAAAAGGCATAATATACATTAATTTTATCATATTATAAATTGTTTTGTTCAGTGAACTATATTGTTGTGTATATGTACTTCAATGTTCCTTGAGTCCTTGAATAGTGTCTTCAGACAGATGTATCAAGAAATAGCTAGTCCGAATAATCATGGATGTTGACTGCACGGTAGTTGGTTTAAAACGATCTAGTAGTGCACCCATGATCAATAAGATCACTGCAACAATGTCTGTAACATCACCTTCTGCTTCTACACCAAGGTATTTAACAGTAACTTTTATATCAGAATATAATATACATCACAATTAAAAATAATGAACAATTTTATAAAAAAGATTAATGTCGGTTATTTTCAGGGATGTTCCATCAACTTTTAACATATTTTCAAATTTACCTCGGACACGACGCTTCAGCACTAGTGTAAGAAAATATGTTTCTTATAGATACATAAAAATAAAATATAATTCACAATTTAATCACAGTTCTTTGTACAAGAAAGAATTTTTTTATAATTGATTATATTTAGAGCTGAAATATTTTTTGTTTTAGAGTTCTGGAACTCTTCCCAGGCTAACTCCACGGATAAGTCAGTTGAGACAAGAAGAATGTATTGATGTTGCTGGTCGTGAAGCAGCACATGAAAAAGAAATACACAGTGCCATACAAATCTCTCAGTCATGGGAAGATCTTACAATAGAAGCAGAAGGACTATCCTTTAAAGATTCTGAATCAGCTTCATTACAGTTTAAAATAGAGTCACGACCAATTCCAAAACGAGTCCTAGATCCATTAAGTATAAACTTATCTGTAAGTGGTTCAACTCTGTATTCCTCGCCATCGCCTACGAGAACTGGTTTTGGTCAGAGACAGTGTTATTCACCCAGTGTTCATGCAGTCACTTGGAAAAATAATTTATCACCTAGTCCCACCAGAAAAGCTTTTGCTACAAGGTATACTCATTCGATAATAATTTAATATTAAACAATAAATGTCTTATGCTGCAGATTTTTCATGGGTTTAGTTAAATTTTTGCATATATATTTAGGCGAAGTTTAAGTCCTATTGCAATACGGCCGAGTTGTTTAGCTTCGGTGAAGAGAAAATTCGAATTAGACGATTCTGGAATGGATCAGCAGTTACAACCTCCAGTAAAACGTACATCCGGTTTGTTAACTTCTGCTACATCTAGGTAATTGTATTCTTTAGAATGAACAGACCTTCAAATTTTCAATATCTGTACTTTTTATTTTTGATTCAGGTTGGATGTGGCAATATCTAGTCTACATCCAGGAACTGTTAGTTCAGTTGGAACTCCAGAATCTTGTTCCAGTCTTGATTCTTCTGGTTTTTCTTTTCGACCTGTACACAGCCCATCCTCTGGTCCAGGTATTATTTCTATCGTTAACGACGATCCTTCTTCCTCTTCATCTTCTTCTTCGTCTTCCTCATCTTCTATCACATTCTCTTCCTCTACCTCTACCTCCTCCTCTTCTATCACCTCTTCTTCTATCGCTTCTTCCTTGGAAGGATCAAATGTACAGGTTCAAAACTTCGAAGAAATACAAAATAAACAAATTATACGAAAAAACTACAAATAAATGGAAGCATATTAACAAGTTCTTCAGGAGTAATATGTATCATTACAATAATGAACTTATTCTTGTGAACAGTAAAAAATGATCGTTATAGTGACCAATTGTATGTACTGAATTTATCCATGGCTATTTTTTTTTTTTCATATTTAATGTTTACCTGCATTCTGGTCATTTCTAGTTACTAATTTACGTATCGAGAAAATTATCCAAATATATATCAGATACATCATACATGATGCTTTCAGTTTTATTAAGATGCTTATAAATATCAATTATCAAATGAAAACAAGATACGTGTACAAAAATATATATAAATATAATATAAAGCAGTTCTAAGACCAAAGCGAATTATTTAGGAAATTATACGTGCTTCCTACTTTTAAGACTGAATTCCGCGTTTTATATTACATCGAATTCAAAGATTCTTTACATGGAAAAGGGTATGAATACATGACGTTACCTATTTTAATTCAATATTAAAAATGTGTCATTATTAGTACAATCCTTTTTCTCATTAAATAACCTTATCAATTTGTCCTTGGGGAATTCTTGATCTTTCAGAATAAATGAATAAATATCTATATGATGTATTTAAATCGATAACTTTTCATATTAGTAGTATTATTGATTCTATGAATTTCCAATTCTGTATAGTGTGTAAATAAATTACTTATAGTATGTATTTTTATTTTGTGTATACAATATCTCTGAAAATGAATTGTGTAAAATATTAAACAGTACCTTTTGGAATAATTAGAAAAAAATCTAATAAAATATTTTAATAAGTAAATATTTTTCCAGAAATAAACAAAAAAAGTCGAATACATATACACAAAAATGTTATATATTTCATAAGTTGATTTATGAAATATTATGCCCTAATAATTCTTTTACGCAGAATGTTTCAAAGAATCCATAGTTTTGTTCCACTTATTCATAGCATTTCAAATCCATAAAAGCGCGAGAAAATATTCAAATTTAAAAGAATAATTTGGAAAGTGGCACCGGATTAATTTAAATACATTATCTATTGCGTTCAAATACAAATTATTCTAAAATGTGTCTGCTATAGTTCACATCATACTATTACCTCTAATATGTGTGTGCGTGTGTGAGTGTGTGTATGTGTTCCACATAGTTTTGCGATTAGTAGCGCATATTTTGTTTATTTATATTTTCTGTAAACTTAAGAAATAGCTTTGTCACTGAACACAACACTTATGGTAGCAAAATAAATTATTATAAATGTTACATTAATTAATTAATAAAAATAAGAGAAATCATCTGCAAGAATAAATAGTTGTTTTTATTGTTGTATGTACAGTTTTAGTATCTATGTTAGACTTTGCGGTCATAAGTTATTTCATAAATATAAAGATAGTAAATAAGTATATAGTACATACACATACTTTCTACATTTTCTTTTGTTTCATGTAACTTTTAACTATGTAAATATATGCATAATTAGATATGTTAGTAAATAATACAGTTATAAAACATAACATTTCTCGTTTATTATAATAAATTAACAGAGCATTAAGGATTTAATAAAAATGTATATTAAATATTTAAAATTCTGAAATGAATTTGTCTTTTAAAATTGAAAAAAAAACAATAAAAAAGTTAACTATCAAAATAATTTACTTTGATTTAAAAAAAATGACAATACATTTTTAATACAAAATATTCTATTCACATAAGTTACAGAATTTTAAGAAATTTTAGAAATTTCCTGCTTACAGAATTTCTGTAAGTTAATGATAATTTTAATAATTTATAAATAATTAAATGAATAAGCAAACAATTAATTATACATAATAGTAGGTAACTATAACTCTAATTTAGTTATCATGAATCGATTTAGTGTAATGACACAGGTTTTGTGTTATTGACTATTTGCCTCTAGATCCATGTCAGACCAAACTGCTTCGGTTTCGCTTTCATCAGGTGCTTCTTCATTATCAGTATCTGGTAAACCATCACCAACATCGTAAGTCGGATCTGTTTGATCTTCACTTACAGTCATATAATAAGCCGAGTCTAGCTTATTGGAAGAGTTGTCTAATCTGTGCATACCTTCCAATGCCCTTCTGTTATTGGGATCTAGACTAATGTCGAACATTTTATTAGTTTATATCATTTTATGTACATTTTTTAGATAAAAACGGGTATTAAAAGTTACGTTATGCAGTGTTTCTGAAAAATACTTTTCTTTTACATGAATATTTGTAATTAATAAATTAATTTTTGTTCTATTTTTCATTAATTTAAATAGCTTTAAAAACCTACTTTAAAGCAATAGCATAGTGATCCAAAGCTTTTTCTTCATTATGAACTCTTGCCCAAAGATCTCCAAGCATCTGATGTAAATTACATGTTGATTGAATTTCTACTTGTCTTTCAAGTAATGCGATTGCAGCTTCCAAATTCATTTCTTGTTCATATATTTCAGCTAATAAATAAACTGCAGGTAAATAAACTTCATCCTGAAGTAGTGCCTTTTCTAAAAGATTTTTTGCTTTCCCAACAGAAACTGGATCTTTCATAAGAACAAACGCATAAAGCTGTGAAAAAATTTTTTTTAAATCAGAACTATGTTTTATAGTGTTTACAATTTATTATTTGCATAAATGGGGGGCGTAGGGGGGTTCCCTACAAAAGTGAGAACTGGCCCTCTCATTATTCTACAATTCTATAATTTTAAGGTAATGAAATTAAAAAATTCTTAGAATTTAATATTCTAATAGTGTACAATTCTAAGATTGTAAGATTCTCTCGTAAAAGCTTATCTTAATGGAAATAAATATCTTGGCTGAAATGCAATGTGATACAACTAAAAACAGAATACACGATTAATGTTTTTATTACATGAAATTATGAATAAAAAGAATTATATTAGAATTAAATGCCTGATATTGTTAGTAAAAACGAGAGGATCTGATCTACCTCAGGCAAAAATCCTAATTGTGCCCATGCAGTTTATACATTTACTTCTGATATACCAAAGACGAATGGAGTTATTCTACATCACATTGATCACTTTTTTTATGTTAATGTCAAAGATTTTAATCAAAATGAAATATGAAGTAATGTACATCATTTTGCTAGTTTTATAAAATGGAATAGGTCACATTAGTTCTTGAATGACAAAATGTAACATTAATTTTGAAGATATTTCTCTAACAATGAGCTTATTTTACAAATAAAATTTTAAAGAATACAATCATAAATGTCTTTTTAATTTAAAATTAATTTGGTTTGTAAAGAGAAATTTACAAAATAAGAATTTGTTTATAATTTTTCAAATAAAACAAATATTACAATAAAGAGAAAGTGACTGATTTGATGTACAATTACCCAGTGTTTTACTGAAATGTTGCATTTAACATGATTAATATAATTACCGTCAGAACTCTTGCTGTATGTCCAAGTTGCTTGCAAGATCCACTAGCAATATTGAGAGCTTCACGTAATCTGTGCATTCCTATAAGACAATCTACTAAACCTTTATGTGGTTCATAACGATATGGTTTTAGTTGTACCGCATGTCTAAAAAAGAACAATGCATCTTGGTACTTTTTTTGCTCTATAAGAATATTTCCACGAAGAATTGTTGCCTCTATATCATTTGGATTCACATTTAAGGCTTGTGCGGTTAAAGTATTTGCTCTGCCAAGCTTTCTAGCTGCATAAAGAGAGTATGCCATAGCAACATATATTTCTCCAGTACATTCGTTGCTTGCTGTTATACTTGGTATTAGTCTTTCAAGTTCCTTAATGTGATGTGTTTTGTATAAAACTGCTGCATAAACATCAACCCTAATTCGAGAAACATTTTTGTGAAATATATTTTAAGAAACTAAACTATTTAAAATTTAAAAATACAAATAAACATAAAACACAGAATAAGTATTAAAATAAAATAAAAATATAATATTAGATGTACAAATTAATTCCGTGCCTGTTCTCAAATACGATTTTAAATTTAAATATTTTACCACACTTTTAATTTGAAATATTACCGATGAGTGAAGCAATAACAATGACATTTATTTTAATAATCAAAGTTAATACCCTTGATCCGAAATAAGCAAGTATTTTCTGGCTCGAAATAAGCTATACTTTTTGTTAGAAGTTGTCCGCAAAACGAAAGATCCCAGAACAAGCGAGAAATCGCTTAATGCCAAAATGAGGGCATGTTACATTCTATTCTTCTTTAAAAAATAACATCGCTGCTCGGCACTTTATGGTTTAAGAAGCTTGATGGATAATAAGCAACTGATCGACCCCGAGTGTGTTGCTTATTTCGGAATGAAACTATGTAATTTTTTCGAAACAAATCTTCAATTTGTTTTTTCTTAATCATACAATTAATTTATACACTTAATGATAAAATGTACTACGATATTAAAAATATTATTACCCTTTCAAAACATCTGGTTCTATATTTCTAGCCCTCCCTAAACACAATAAAGCATTTTTGTCGTCTCCAGCATAATAGTAACATTCTCCCATTGTAGTTAATAGATTGAAATTATCTCTTAACAAATTAACATTGTCTAAAGACCTTAATATTGATACTGCATGAGTATATTCTCTATTATGTACATGGGCATGAGCTTTAATCCAAGTATTCAACCAGTCTAAATTTGACAAATTGGATGCACAACCAGCAATTAATGAATTTACTTCGATTCCTTTTATTCCAAGGGAAAGCAAACCTTCTGCAGCTTCCAAAGCTAATGGACATTCCCTTAGAACTTCTTTATATGTAGTAACTGCAGATCGTTCCATTCCTTGTTCTTGAAACATCTTTGCAAGAGCCATATTTATCTTAAAAGTTAAAAGTCACTTTTAAATTAATTAAAAATTAAAATTTAAAATTTAAGTACATTAAAATTACCTTTGGAGTTCTTTGTTTACCAGGAATATTTTGTAGCACTTGAAATGCTTCTTGAGAATTTTTTAGTTTCATTAAACATAAATGAATTTGAAATTTTATATCAACATCTGAAAGAAGATCCTTTTGACCTTCTAAAGGTTTTGTAGAACCTTTGGATTTTAATAAACACTTACGAAATTGTAAAGACTTTTTATATAATGCTTCAGCTCTTTTATATTTTCCTAAGTAAAAGTGAGCATGTGCGTAATATACATAAATATGAAATTTGCCATGTATCGGCAATAGATCTGAATTATGTTCACTGAGTGACAATACTAAATTTGCCTGCAGTGAAAAACAATTTTATTAGGTATATTAAATTTTATTACTTTTATTAAACAAAAATTATTAAATACAATAACTGATTACACTATTGATAAATATAGTACTTTCATTGTAAATTTTGTTAATTAAAAATATATATTTTTTTTTAATTATTACATTTACTTACAAGTGAAATAACATTTGAATATAAGGATTGTTCATAAAGAAGTTTTATTTGATCATATAAAGTTGACATTTTCTCTAAAATATTGTTCTAAAGTTCACAGTATCCTGGATTCTATCACAATGTTCTTAACCTATGAAAGTTGACTTATAAAAAATAACATGATTAATATCGAATAATATCTAACAATATATTAAATAAAATATGAATAAATTGTATTTGAAATTTACCTACAAGCACTAAATACCACAAACAATATTTAAACAAAGATCGTACATACATACTGTTGCGAACTTCGCCTGTATGTATCCATATGTATGAGCATGTATGAGGGCAGTATCGTGTGAATCTGGCTGCAAGCCTGTAATCGCGGAAGTTGAATGAAACGTAATATGGCGACAATGCCAAAAGAGTATGGACAGTGACATAGCCGACTCTAGTACTAGCCGTGCTGAAGTAAAAATGGCAACACTGCGGGAATCCGGTCTGAATATATCAACACCTACCCTACTCTATCTGCCTCCCGGACTCCCAGACTCTCAGCCAATCAACGTCGTCAGACTCCCGACTACTCTCTGGACTTCACATAACCTCTTTGGTTTCGTTCCAATAATTTCGCTTGTTTCAAGGTTTTTATTAACTTATATACACGTTCATCAATTCTTAAATGTTTCAATTTGACCCAAAGATGGTTTCATTTTGCTTCATACCTAAATTTTCTTGAAACCACTGTAAATATTTCAAATATCATGCTTCACAACACCAAACTACTTTGAGAGTACACAAGATATATATCACATTTATAACAATTTTATACTACCACATCACTTCTATTTGCCATAGTTGCAACGTTTATATATTGTTTATACATAATTAACACCAAATAGTGTATATTACTACAGGTTTTAATTAAAAAAGACGTTAATTACAATTCCGAGCACAGGACTCGGTTTTTGAAAATAAGACTCCCGATTGTCACGTGAGCGGTGTTGCCACGTTGTTCAGCATGGCTAGTACTAGAGTCGGCTGTGGTGTTTATCGGGTCTAGTGTAAAACCCGGATAAAAAGAGTGCGGGGAGATGAGTTTGGGGTATTTTTCCTGGGCTAAGTTATCTTGGCCCAGGAATTAGCCGGAGGGAGGAGGGGATCCTCCCAAGCGGCAAAATCATGCCGCTTGGGAGTAGAAGACGTAAAATCAAGGAGAAGATGAGGCATAAAAGTAAAAGCCTCAGCGAGAATGAAGGCGTGAAGCCTGCGATGGATATTGAATTGGAAAAACCTGGAAGTGACGGGGAATGGGAAACGGAATACTTGGAAGAAGACAAGGAAGCAAGAGAATTTTTTGCTGGAAAAACGGTTAAGGAAAAAAATCCTCAGAGGGAGCTGCGGGTTGCCGATATTGTAGCGGAATTTGAACAGAAAGAAGTAAGTGGGGAAGTGGCCAACCAAAATGAGCCACGCAAAGCACCTACGGAACAGGATAGGGAATCTCCGAGATACGAAGTTGGCAGCAATGAAGTGACGTCAGAAAAGCCGGTAGAACGTGGTAACTTGGAGGGCCTGCGAAGAATCCCTCGTGCCAGGCTCTCATAGCCCTTATCTATGCTTCAACACTTTGTATTAATATTGTTTCCTGTAAAATGCTCTTTTTATTCACGGCCAGCAGCAGTATAAAAATGTCTAAATATATACAGTAAAATCTCGGTTAATGCATTTCAATCGGAATCAAATATGAACTCGAATCTACAGAACACGTTTGTTGAGCGACTTCGGATCGCGTTTGATGTGGTGACAGCCGAGAATCGAGGCAGAGTACGGGAAAAAATAGCAAGTTTAAATACCTGTATACATGTGAAACAATACTAACGCAATCAAAATTTAAGATTAAAACCTTTTTATTTTTGACCTTTTTTTAATGAAAATATTACTAACGTATCTGTGAGATTTTTCTAATTAAAACAAGATCAAACATGACATAATTTGAATTATAATTATTTGTTTACTTATTTATATCTAAATAAGTAAAAATAATGCAAATTATATGGTGTTTGGTCTTATTTTAATCAGAAAAACCTTACAATTACATTGGTGAAAGTTTCATTTAGCAAAAATGAAAAATAAAAAAGTTATTGTTGAATTAATATTGTCTCACTCGAATGTTTTTTCTCGGTTCATGTTTTCTTAGTAGTAATATACAATACACAAAATGCGGCAGCTTTATACCATTGACATAGAAATGTTCTAAAACTATTTAATTTAAAATAAAAGTCATAATAAGGTTTCAATAAATCCTGCATTTTTTTATTGTTTCGCAACTAGCTTTTTCTATATAGGTATTATATAACAATACTAACAATTTTATCTGATATTAATTATGAAAAAATGAATACTATGAACATTAATATATTGTTAACATTGTCATATAAGATCATGCAATTAAATAAATTGTATGCTTTGCGCATAATAGTATCTTCAGTTTTAACTTGCAATTTAATTTTTTTCATTTTTTTACATAAGAATTATCACTCTATATTATACACAAAATAATGAAGATTATTTCTTGCACTTGCATCCAATATAGAATTGCACTAATTAAACATAGGTATGGAAATGACAATGCTGCATACTAAACGATTTTATAAACTACATCATTATAAAATCTTCATTTAAATGTAATTCAAATACTGCCATATACAGCGCGATATAAAACTCATAAATAAAAAAACAACGAACAAAACGTTTATAGTGGTGACATAATAAAAAATACTAAGTAGCATTATTTTCAAACAACTGGTATATGCACAAGCATATACATAGATCAGTGCTTGCCAATCACCATACCTGATACAGAATCAGAATCAGTTTAGAATTGTATAGTATCTATTGACTGTACTATAATCCTGTGGTCTTCATTGCACAATGACACTACCGAACATGTGCACGAAGCACTGCCTCTTGTTTGGCCCCTCTGATTAAGAAATTTCTGATTCTATTGAATATAGGATACAATTGGCAATAATGTGATCATGCAGTAAATTTGAATGTTTTGAACTTATTAAGTATTTGGCAGTGCTTAACCAACATCTGTATCGTTCATTATTACTTTTATCAAATACTTTTTTCTTTCTTCTGTAGTCCATCAATTTTAAAGATTGGTAAACACTGATTTAATTAAACGTTAGTTTGTCATCTCAGTTTCCTTTTGTTCTGAACTGTCTTTTCATTATAAGGCAACCCATTGTCTTAGTCTCCACTCTCTTCAATTTGACCGCCGGTAATTCCTGTAATTCGTTGTTCTTACAGTCATTATTTCCCATTTCCTCTTGCGAAGACCATGTAGTACCAATTAAATACATTTTTCATTGACATGTTTAAGATGAAATTTTGTACATTTTTTATATACTTCTTCCATCATCGTCTTCTTCTTCGTCGCTGTCATCTTCCTCGTCTTCCTCTTCCTCAGTTCCTTCATCATCTACTTCTTCAACTTCTTCGTTATCTTCCTCGACATTTAGTTCTTGTTTTCTCTTCTCTTCTACTTTTTCTTCCTCTTCTTCTTCTTCCTCTTGCTCTTCTTCAGACTCTTCCATGTATTTCTTTTTGTTTCTGTTTTCTTCTATCCTTTCTTCGTCAACTTCGATCTCAATCTCTTCTTCTTCCCCATCTTCTTTCCTTTCTTCTTCATCTTCTTCGTCTTCCAGCTCTTCTTCCTCTTCTTCTTCCTCTTCTTCCTTCTCTTCCTCTTCCTCTTCTTCTTCTTCTTCTTCTTCTTCTTCTTCTTTTTCTTCTTCTTCTTTTTGTTCTTCTTCTTGTTCTTCTTCAGTCTTTACACCCTGCATGTTCTTTTTACGAATTTCTTTCACTCTGTTTTCAATATTTTCCGTGACTTGTATTTTTTGTCTACCATCAATTATGTCAACATTTGGCAAGGTTTTTGTGCCTTCCACATTCAAGGTTGTTACATCTTCTACCTCGCGTAGATCTTGATTTTCTTCCTCAGATTCCTAATTTAATGGTAAAATAGTTAGTATTTTCGTGTTCAACATAATTTACCGGTGTTGATGTTTAAATTGTATATAAGGACAATTGATAGATTGTATGTAATTGAATGTGTAATGATCATATAATAGATTCTAACTATAATAACTAAAGAAGCTAACTAATTCTCATCATCAATAAATAAGTACTATTAGTTGTCTTATTAAAAAAATCAAATTAATAAGGGATTAATAATATAAGTGTTGTAATTATTTATAGCAGTAAGAAGAATGTGAAATGTGTAATATTTCGCATTAGAATTAGTCGATTAATAATAAATTCAATGCACAATGTAAATTAGATGTTAATGTTTAAAACAAATCACAGAATCCAAATGGCTATTATTTGCACTATAGCATATCGGTATTGAGCTTACACAAATAATTAAGTAGAAAAGCTATTTTTACGGTTCGTAATAATTCTCGTGATTTGTCATTTTCATGTTAAGTAATATGTACAGAAGCAAACAATTAAATGAATGAAAGAATCACCAAATAAAACAAGGCTCCGCAGATTCGTTTGATTCTGTTGGTAATTCTAATATTTTCTTACAGCTGCATTTTGGTCGAGACTGATGAGGGAAAGGGTCATTTTGCCTGAAAGTACAACAGGTGCTTCTACGTCCTCTTCCGGTTTTTGAGCTTGCGTTTCTGAATCTGTTACAAGTAATTCACACTGTGAGGGAAGTGCACCTTCTAAATATATTGGTTTCGGCGGTGTTTTTTCCCTTTCAGTGTGACTAAAACAACACGATTGATATTATTACACATCTTGGGCTAACAATCATTAGACTTTTTATATTTCTATTACCTGGGTGCAATAGGTATTATAGGAGTGGAAGGTCTACTACCTTTACCCTCACAACTAGCTGTCATTTCCATACCCATGACTTTAACAGTTGGTGAATCTATATTTTCTACTTCTTTGTCTGCGTTACTATAATCTGCCTGGGCAACGGCATCGTCCTGTAAATTAAATTATTTAAATAAACAACCTTCTATACTATTTTCTTTAAAGTATAGTTACACAATATTTAACATAATATATATTATTTTTAATGGATACTACAGCATGATGGTTAATACTCATAAATTAATAAAAAGTAAAAGTTTGTTATACTTCTTTTAAAAGTATAATATAGCATTTATACAAACACCATGCAACTGAAAAATAAAACACTGAAATTATAGTGCTAATTTATTTTTAAAAAATTCGTGTTACAAAGAAAAATATGTATATGAAAATAAAATTTTATTTTTGATTACAGCAATCAATAACTTGCAGTTATCATGCACTCAAATTTAATCGCTTTTAATGGCAGGATTAAAAGTAGGATTTTAGGTGTAATGCATGTTACAAATATTTATAAACAATGTTATTATAGTATTAAACCCTTGATATTGTGATGAATGAACATTTTGAACGGGATAGATTTTTTTTTAAGAATGAAGAGAACTTTAATACATATAATTTCTCACAAACTCTGGTTACTCTGGTTAATAAATCTTTGAAGCAAAGAATATACCTTAAATGAACGATTGACCCCTGCCAAGCCTTTGGACTTTGGAGGCCCATCTACTATTTAAATATAAAATTAAGAACTATAAATTCTATTACTTAATATACTTAATAATTTAAATGCTTTGAACGAGTATGCACTTTTCATCAAGATGAATGTGTAAAAAATTGTGAATAATTAAATAACGGATATATAAAAGCATTGAAATGTAGAAAAAGCAAAATATTGAAGACCTCATAGTAATAATACGACATGTACATAATGTACTTTAGGAGAAGGTAAAATTTTAAACGCAATCAGAACACAACAACGTGCATAATTCTAAGGACTACTAAACTGAAAATGTAAATTGTTTCATAATTAGTCTAGTAAACCTTGAGTTCTTGTTGTGAGCTTGGACTATGCATAACTGAACGTGATATGTTGCCCATCTGAACAACAATTCTTTCCATGGCTGCTTCCGTCTCGACCAAACGTCGTCTCAGTTGATCTATCTCTATGTCTCCTGCCGCTTCTTGTGTTCCAGCATGTACAACATTACCAAACGAATTCAGAGAATATACACGAGTACTTACAATACTTGAAATTTTAGTCTAACATTGTTTTAGTTAAATTCATGGTATAAATACGTGTGTGTTCTAATTGTGCAAACCTTGCATCATGCAACACCATTAAAAATCTGATTAGATACTCAAAAAAACATGTACCTTATCTTTCACTATTTCTTTAAAGGAACTAGCTTTCAAGGAAAACACTGCATTAATGATAAAGTAAATCAAGTGTTGTCGATAATTTTTTGAAAAACTGAAAGAACTTACGATCTTTTAGCTCCTCTATAGTAGGTGCAGGCCTCTGTGGCGAAGGAGATCTTTCCTTAGAATAATTCATTGTGCCACCAGTCATTGCACTAGCAAAAGCTTCAGGACTAAATACCATTTTTCGAAATTCTTTTTCTGCTGCTGCTCCTGGGTATTCTGAAATGATTTCACTATCCGAATTTTTCTTTAGCACCTAATAAAACAATACATAAGTTTGAGGGTATAGTTTACAACAAATAAATAAAAAATAACATGAAATAAAATATCCTACAAATTACCTTGACAATTGTATACAAAAAGAATAACACAATGCCTAATGTATACAGTGGCATAATAATTCCCATAGTACCATTTCCCTTTGGTGCAGAAACAACATGCCCTGCACCTCCCAAAGGTGGTCTCATTTTTGGCACAACTTGATCAGGTCTATCTATTACTTTTGGTACAATATGAGAGGAGGGTATTGCTCTACCACGCTCTCTCAATGCAGGATGCAAACCTCCTGCATGTGGTGGTGTACGCCTTTCTTGTCTGATAGTATCTAACATATAGATAAAATGTTAGGAAGAAATGATTTAAAACATTTATTAATATATTATTATCAAAGTTTATATAAACAACGTTAGTCTGTATTTCCCCTATATAGTGGAAGAAGCTGCTACATAGATAGATACAATCATGACTATAGGTCAAACTTATTCCCATCTACTCATCACTAGTTATACTTGCTCTTTTGGCAACTTGCCAAGAAGAAGAGATAATTTGAATTTGTTTTCCATGTATAATTGGTAAGATTAATAATTCCAAAATTATGTTTGAAGTTGAAAGTAAAATTATTTAGTAGTGTTATTGAATGTTTAATTATACTAAAAGCATGTAAGTATATTAATAGCAGAAGAAAGTTGCACATGTTATGTGTCTTGTTAGTGAATAGTATTAACAATTTTGAGCAAAACTTTATATAGTTCTTACTGTGAGGCATTAAAATATGATATCTTATCAGATGCGGAGTTCCTAGTTGAGAAAGGGGAATGCCAAAAGACATTTTTAGGCATAGAGAGCTATTGAATGATCTGATTTCTTCCAAAACCTGTTTATAAGACTTTCCCAAACGTTCTCTTTCAGCAAGAAATGTAGATAAATCTATACCACATCTTGCTAAAATTTCTTCTCTACATAAACTTGCACTTTGCGGCGTCAGTTTTATAGTTCTCAAAGCATCTCTTACCCTTGGATCAATCTGATGATGCTTTAATATGTTCTGACACATTTCATATACAATATCAGCAGCAGTAACATCACTTTCAAATATTACATCGCAGCATGCTAATAAATATTCAAAAACATACTAAAATATATTTCACAGTCCTGGATAACGAATTGCAAAGATTAAAAATTGAGTAGTACTGAAAAAAGGATGTTATAATCCTAATTAAATCATTGAACTGTTTAAATTGGATTAACATTAAGAAGTTAATTTAATAGAAAACATGTTGGTACATCATCACTCATCCTTCTTTCTTTCTGAAGATTTTGATACAAGTATTAAAATCTTACCAGAAGTATCAGATGTATGATGTGAAGTGACAGATGCTGTGAGCATAGGGTAGAAAATTTTCGGCCACAATACCGCAAAGCACCCTGCCACGATTGCTAAAATGAAAATCGTCTTTCTTGGGCCGAAATCCGTTATTTCAGCCATATTCGGAAATTCGTCGTTCGTATAACTTTCGTAATTTCGTTAAAAGGTAAAATAGTCGTGGATCTTCCACTACCACGTTCAAGGATCGCAGAACGGATGGAAGGCACAGCAGCGCACTGTCGTCTGCTATTTCTGTCATGGGACAGGGCTGTACCTATCCGCTTTTGTTCTTAAAATATTTTCCCTTAATTTTCGTTTACTAAAACTTGCAAACCATTTTTCAAACAAGATCGTGAAAAAGAACAAAGTTTTAAATTTAAATTCCTCTTGATTTCTTTGAAGCTAAGATCGTAGAATAAATTTGTATATGAAATTTAAAAAAAAAGAATCTTGAAAATCAGAAAAATTAACGCGAGCATGACTATATTTAAAAATTCATGTTTTATATTTAGATGTTGACTAACTTAAAATAATAATTGTGACATAACACAGTAAACAAATATTACATAAGATTGAAACAATTTGATCGTTTCTCCTTTCTTGCCTGGGATTAATGTGGTACTTGTTACAAGAATAAGCCAAAAAGCTGGCCAGAAATAGCAGGTTCTGGCAATGTCATAGAGGCAAAGTAAAAAGATCTTGTTTATTAGGTAAAATAATAGAAATATATATGTACAAGTCAGGGCCACTGATCTTACTTCCATTTATTTACATCATATATTAACAATGATAACAACAATAATGATAATAAGAAAATGATTGCTTACAGTATACTAAAATTGATGATGTCCTATGGATTATTTAAATTTATATAACTTATTCTGGACCTCCTCTCTGAAAACAGAAAACTTATCTCAATATACAAAGTCTCTTTAGATCTATGTACTATAAATATATATGTGTGTGTGTGTGTGTGTGTATATATATATATATATATATATGAAAATTTTCATTAGATCGAATGAATAATACAAATAAAATAACAATATACTTACGTTAATATATGCTATTTCTTTCTCATCGATGGGTCGTCTCTGAAATCGTGGAGGTAGATGAATGTCATCTATTGTTGGTAAAACGATTACGTTTGGCCCTGTTGCACCTACACCTCGTTGTTGTAATGTCGGCCCTGATTGCGCAGACTGTACGTTCGAAGCCCCAGGAGTTGCTAACCAATAACAAGGATTTCATTCGGCTTTTAAAACTAAGCTATTTAATGATTGTTATGTGACATTACCTCTGCTTATTCCTCCCTTACGAAATTTAATCATAGGCACGTGCGGTTTTACCACCTATAGCAATTTAATTCATGTAAATTACATGTTTATTATGTGCATACGTGAACATACGGTATACGTTTCTTACTATTATACCGATGCACTGACCTTCCAACCTTTGCTTGCCATCATAATTTTTCTAACAATTCTGTCTATGATATGCAGAAAACAAGTGTTACCAAATGTTACTTGCGACAGTGTCTTCTTTCGTTCACTTCAAAGTTGCGAGTAGATGGCGTGTTTTGACATACCTACCTTATCGAAGTACAAAATATTCGATGGAAACTAATGCGTGCAAAGTTCCATTGACCACTTGTGCAATACGATTTTACAGATGATATTACTGTATGTATATGTACATACACAATACTTGATACGAAACGAAATATAAATAAAAAAAGTATTGAATTTGAGATTCTTTTTTATGGAATTTAGACTAACTTGAATTGGTAAATCATGTTTAATAATTTATCTATACCGATTACTGTAACCATGACGATTATTCATTTTTTTTTCTAATTGATTTTGCGATTACACTTGTAGTATCTACTTAGCAATTTAAAGGAAATGGTAGTAATACAAATCTGTACACATGTAAATTTTATTTTATTGTAAGCTTAACTTAATTCCAAAATATTTATTATCTAAAACAAAATTTTGTACTATAAATTAAGTAGGGTTTGTGTGATACAAGAAATGAAAATGAGAATGTTTAATGACACCACATAAAACGTGGCTACTTTGGCAGTCTTTTAATAACTACAATGACATTAATATTAATTTCACATTCAGATCTTAAACTTAATCTACTTCTTCCATTCGGGAAGCATCTTCCGCATCTCCTTCAAGAGGAGGTACATCTTCTGTACTTTGTTCCTCTGGAGCAGGTTCTTCCTCATCAATACCAAGACCCAACTTGATCATTCTGTAAATTCTTGCGGCATGAACCTGTGGTTCATCCAATGTAAAACCTGAGGAAAGGAGTGCTGTTTCGAACAACAAGATTACCAAGTCCTTCACTGCTTTGTCACTCTTGTCAACCTCTGCTTTTTGACGAAGGGTTTCGATGATGGCATGATCAGGATTGATTTCAAGATGCTTCTTTGCTGCCATGTATCCCATAGTAGACGTATCCCTAAGAGCTTGAGCTTTCATAATTCTTTCCATGTTAGCTGTCCAACCATATTGTGAGGTGACTATACAACAAGGAGAGTCAACCAAACGATTTGATACTACAACCTTTTCTACTTTGTTGTCAAGAATGTTCTTCATTACTTTGCACAAGTTCTCAAACTTGGCTTTGTCTTCTTCTCTCTTCTTCTTTTCTTCCTCATCTTCAGGGAGTTCCAATCCTTCTTTGGTTACAGATACTAATTGTTTTCCATCGAACTCTTTCATTTGTTGTACTACATATTCATCAATAGGTTCCGTCATGTAAACAACTTCAAAACCACGTTTCTTGACACGTTCAACGAAGGAACTGTTTGCAACTTGTTCTTTGTTCTCTCCAGTGATGAAGTAAATGTGTTTCTGATTTTCTTTCATTCTGCCTACATAGTCCTTCAGAGAGCAAGCTTCATCACCAGAAGCAGAGGTGTGATATCTTAAAAGGTCGGCCAATTTACTCCGGTTGGTGCTGTCCTCGTGAATACCTAATTTAATATTTTTACTAAATTGTTCATAGAATTTCTTATAGTTATCCTTATCTTCTGTAAGTTCTTCAAATAATTCTAAACATTTTTTAACAAGGTTTTTACGAATAACCTTCAAGATTTTATTCTGCTGAAGCATCTCACGAGAAATGTTGAGAGGAAGATCTTCGCTATCAACTACACCTTTCATGAAATTCAAATATTCTGGAATTAATTCTTCACAGTTGTCCATAATGAATACCCTCCTTACATAAAGCTTGATGTTATTCTTTCTCTTCTTATTCTCAAACAAATCAAATGGCATCCGCCTTGGAACAAAGAGTAAAGCTCTGAATTCCAATTGGCCTTCAACAGAGAAGTGCTTAACAGCCAAATGATCTTCCCAATCATTAGTCAGTGATTTATAAAATTCACCATATTCCTCCTGAGAAATATCATCAGGATTTCTGGTCCAGATAGGTTTTGTTTTATTTAATTCTTCATCTTCTGTATATTTTTCCTTGATAGTCTTCTTCTTTTTCTTCTTTCCTTCTTCCTCTGCTGCCTCTTCGCTTTCATCTATGTCTTCAACTTTTGGTTTTCCATCATCCTCTTCCTTTTTCTCCTCAGGTTCTTCAGCTTCATCTTCGCTCAATTCTTTCTCACGTTCCTTCTGAACTACTAACTTAATTGGATAACCAATAAATTGGGAATGTTTCTTAACGATCTCCTTAATTTTACTTTCTTCTAAATATTCGCTTTGGTCTTCCTTGATATGTAAAACAATTTTTGTTCCACGTCCCAATGGCTCTCCAGGGTCATGCCTGACAGTGAATGATCCTCCAGCGCTAGATTCCCATAGGTACTGTTCGTCATCATTGTGTTTTGAAACAACTGTAACTTTATCAGCAACAAGATAGGCAGAATAGAATCCTACACCAAACTGACCAATCATGGAAATATCAGCACCAGCCTGAAGAGCTTCCATAAATGCCTTGGTACCAGATTTAGCAATTGTACCAAGATTATTTACTAAATCAGCCTTGGTCATACCAATACCAGTATCAATAATGGTCAGAGTGCCATCATTCTTGTTTGGAATGATTTTAATGTACAATTCTTTACCGCTGTCCAACTTGGAAGGATCAGTCAAAGACTCGTAGCGTATCTTATCAAGAGCATCGCTGGAGTTTGAGATTAATTCTCTGAGAAAAATTTCCTTATTGGAATAAAAGGTATTGATGATCAGAGACATAAGCTGAGCAATTTCAGCTTGGAATGCAAAAGTCTCCACATCGCCAGCCTCAGTTTCCATTTGTGCAGACATCTACAATGAAAATTATAGAATGATATCAAATATTTTCTTATTGCATTTATTTTTTAATAATTTTTATATAAAAAAGACATCATATTTTAATTTCTTGCACACCTTATCTTTGTGCAAATTTTTAAAAATGTCATTCTGTATCTAAGCAATTTAGATAGACAAATTTCATAAATTTCACAAAGAAAAAACACGTGTCGCGTCCATTCGAAAATACGCACACAGAATGTCGACCGTGAAAATGATAAGCATAAAATAATGAAAATTATGACCAAAAAAATACTACAATTATAGCAATATTTAATTATAAGTAAAAATGCAATAAAGTAATAATGATTTAACACTTCAGCTATTGTGAGAACAATTTTCATCTTTCATTATTCATGTGATTTAATACATTTTATGAACATACAGAATGACGTTATAAATAAGCTAAATACTTCTTAAACATTAATTTAAAAAAAAGAAAACGACTGTACCTTGATGTCCAGTTGAATGGCTGTTAGAAAATGCTTCTCAAGAATACGAGAACACGTTGTCGAGCACCTGGCAGATTATTGAATGAAGTGGCGCGCTGATCAAGTTTCGCTTTATATACTTCGGAAAATTCTAGAATGTTCTAGAACATTCTAGAACATTTTTACCTCCTTGAACGATTCACATCCGGTAAAATATATACCAATCATGATGAATTTTTCATCAATCGAACTCCTTCATTCATATTAACAATTCTATTTACCTTCGATAAATATGCGTGCACGAGTTTCCTTTAATAGAACGTTATCGCGTTCATTTTAAAGGGTAAAAATCCTGTTAGTTTATTTTTCCCTTAGCGTGGTAACTTCCGGCATTTGTTATGAGCGAACTAATCGAACATAATCGCGAATTTTTGAACACGCGAATAGACAATTCTTATCAGAACACTTCCTGTTAATCGTGATTCAGCTTTTCGCGAATGCCATCGCTTGATCTACAAAAATTACATATAAAAAATTCAACTTGATTTGAATAAAGAAATATTCATCATTACGTCGTTCGATCGATTTTCTTCCTCATTAGATATGCATAGAAATAATCTATGATCTTCGGTATGTTAGCTGATCACAGATTTATAAAATAATTTCAAATTACAAGTCTGGTGTTATTCGACACAAAAATTTCAGTATAGACATTTAACTTTCAAAAGGTTCTATACTGTAATTTGTATAGACAAAAGTCTTTGTAAAATGACTCATTCCTTTTAGAAGTTAAATGAATACAATGTTTTAGGAAAAAATAGTGATATGATGATTCATTATGTGTTATGCATATTCATGAGAAACTAGAAGAATACTAGAACGTTGATGTATGAAATTAATAAACTAGATCGTTCAAGGGTGAAATTTATCATATGTATAAAAAGAAAATTTACAAGGTTTTATTATATATTTTGTTTTCATAAAATAATGATTGATATATCATTGGAGAAATGTGAAAATGATCAACACTCAAAGTGGCGGAAAGAATTCATAAAAACCGCGGAAGTTCGGTCGGTATTGAATGGAATTTAAGTTGTATCGAAACGTGGCGCCCCCTAAGTTTCTTACGAACTATCGATTTTGTACATATGTACATACATCATGCTTGCTGTTGAAAACCCATGAAACTCAAATTTCATTCGACAAATGAACATTTATTTTTGAAAGCAACTCTCAATTATTAAATTTAAAAGAAATTCATATTCTACTTTCCACTTGCAATCTTGTAATTATAGAAATTCATCTAACCGAATAGTTTTTAATTTTGAAATTGATAAAACAGTCGTATCGTACTAGTGTATGAATCGATACTAATTAGTCGATAGAGGGACATTAATTTGATCGATTTTCGAATTCTAGAAGCGCGAAATATGATCACGTAAAGAAAAAAAGGAAATATCGATACGCCTTTTGAAATGTTCTCGATTAGTAATCAAGTCACGTGGAAATGACACTACTAGTAATTACCAATGCCCAACTCGTACGTACGTTCCCGTGCAGAATGAATACAGAAATGTTTGGATCGTCTTTTACCTATTCACCGTGTCTTCGACACAGCTTATTCCAGAAGGAAAATTTTCTTACTCCCACCTCTTCTTGATTAAAACGTTCACCTAAGAATTCGAGGGATTTCAAGGAATAAATAAACATTGATTCATTTGAAATGATTCATTTTTATTCGTTTTACAATAAACGAATAATATACATAGACAGTACATAAATGATCATATATAGGTACTTTATTTCCATCAGAGTGTCATAGAAAATTATTACAGCGTTACATAAATCGATTTCACGGATAAACCATGTACAATCTGGTTCACGGCTACAAATGGTACCCCGTTTCGAAGTAACTTTCGAAACACGTCGGACGTGTCGTTGCAGCGGCAGTACTGAAATACATGGGAGAAGATCGCTGGAGTTGATATGGCGAGGAGCTTAACTCCGGTAACCTAGCTTTATGATGTCGAATAATACTCATACAGCTAGATAACCAAAGAAAATGTCCGCGCCAAGATCCTCTCGTCACCTATCAGAAATACTTTTACCGAGAATCTTGAATCATCAAAAAATTTGCTATATACTATAAACTATACACAGTATAGTCTCGATTATCCAAGTCTCGTTCAACTGCAATTCCATATTATCCGATGAAACGATGGATTTTGCTTTTGAGTTTTAACCTCTTAACTTAATAATTATATTATAACAAGTGTATTTTGCCCGATTATTCTCGAGCTTTTAAGTTAAGAGGTTAAGGATTCCTGGCAGGAAGGAATACTTGGTACATCACCTAAAAATATAAAAGACAATCGCTTCTTTCTCTACGCAATGAAAATTGAACGATCTGTCCATATTATTATCTCAGATGATCGAGATGATACTGTACAGTGATCGTAGTCGTTGAATTGTCGATCACGAATGGATCGTTTTTCTTGATCGTTCTTTCCTCGTTGTGGAATAGCGAGGTACACGTGTCGTTAGCAGCCTGTAACAGAAAGAGTAGGAGAAATCGTAAAACGTTTAACAACAAGAATCGTTCTTTTGTCGCGTAACCAGGAATTGATTGATATGCGCAAGGCTTTGAAAAGTGAAACACAAGCCGCTGACATTTCGGAGTGAAAGTCTAAGTGGTCGGTAAAAGAGCGGGCCTTTGGCTACGGGATAGATAGCCACGGGCTACGAGGAGCCGCGTACATCTGAAAATTCTTTTGACGTTTCCAGGTCAAAGTTGTTTCTCGTAAAAGCACCGCATGGAAAGCACCGAGAACACGGAGAAAGCGACCAGCTAAGATCGATCCAGACACATAAATTTATAATTTATACTCGATTTTTTCATTCAACACGGTTTTCGGAAAGAATTTCCATTGAGAAAAGAAAATGCTGAATAAAGGAACTGAAGGTATGTATTCGATCAACGTTCTGCTCGCGTTTAACCGCAAAACCCGAGCGATCGAAATAAATCAAGACTTTGCTGAATCGTACAGCATATAAAGAACAACCTTACGTCATAATTACTTCAATTTAGAACCACGTATGTACGCGTACACACATCCAAAAGTAACTTCCTGGTTACCATTTCTAGCCAACGAGCCACTAACTTTAACAAAACTTACGCCTCGAGCGATACAGACGGAGGTGAACAAGATTCCAAAGGTATCTATCTATCTTGTATATCGCGCATAAATTCTAACAAACGTTTCTATTCATTCTCGAATCAACGTCAAAGAATAGCGCGTTCGATTGAGATTCGAAACAAGGATAGATTTCCATTTGGACATATCACAATGTCATTTGGATCGAAAGAAATTCAAGCATTACTCGATCATCGTTTTTATTATCTGTCGTTCGTTATCCAAGACGCGTTATCTGCTTACGTTTTCTGACGTTACGCTCCTGATATCGAAGGCTCTCTTCGCTTCTCGACTGGCCGCTAAGACCGGTATACATACACCGATGTGTGTTTCGTAAGAGCTTGCATTTGGAGAAAGTTATGATCTCGCGAGTTGCCTTATACCGTTGCTGAACTCTATTTTATTATCGAGTTCTCCGCCTTCTCTGTCTATCTCTGTTCGTGCACGCGCAACCGCTCGATCTCTGTCGAAATTCGTGACCGTGACTGAAAACGAGCAGCGAATTTCACGAGAAGCAACGCTCGAAAACGTTTGACAGCAGTTTCGTATTTTAAACACCGCCCGTTATCGACTCTATTAACCGGCCAAATATGTATATGTCATTTCCAGAATATCGAGTTTCGCAATAGATAATTTTGAAAGATTGCGACACGCGAATATGTTGCTCGAATCGAAAATGTTCGTTCGCTGAAACGATGTCTTCAAATGCAATTCAATCTTATGATTTTTCCGTTTGATTTCAAGATTTCGCTAACGAAATTGTCGCGTTTACGAGGATGAAAGTACAAAAGATTGAATAGAGAAAACGAGCAAAAGAGAAGAAAGAACCTCAGAGAGCGCACTCACCTGCGAAACTTGGTGGTTCGTTTCTCGCCATCGAACACCAGATTCAACGATACACGTAATCCCCCAACTTTCTAATATTCAATTCGCTTTATTATCATTCTATTTTCTTTTGTTCGTAAAGTGGCTGTGGAACGACAGAAGCAACGTTTCCAACTCGAGCAAATCGCTTATCCGAGTCGCGAAATCCGTCGTCGTCGTCGTCGTCGTCGTCGTCGTCGTCGTCGTCGTCGTCGTCGTCGTCATCGTCGTCACGTACCTACGGTAAATACGAGTGAGTACCTATATCTTTACACGATAAGCTGGCCTTCGATTTGTTCCATTTGTTTGCCACGGCTGCTACATTCGAACTGTACTATTATCGAGAGATCACCGGTGTCAAGAATTTCGCGAAAGCTATAAAAAAAAGATAGATTAAGAGATTGCTTCGAACTACGTTTGTACGCTAACAGCTCGAGATTTTACGAAAGTAATTCAGAGAAATTCAAACGAATAACAAAGAAATTTCGCGAAAGAAAGTAACGAACAGAGAAATAATAAAGATCGTTTTCAAGTAAATTCGTACACGGAAGAAAAAAAACAGACTTCTGTTTAAGAAACGTCCGAGCGTTCTTCAAAGCAGAAGGTTATTATCAACGTCGCGGTTGTTTAACGATCTAATTAACGATACAATTAACAGTCCGGTGGTTCTGTGGAGCCATTACAGGACAGGGTCTTTGCACGATACGCCTTATTGACTGTACTTTTTATCGAGAAGTTTAGCGGCGTTCCAAAGCCGATTGCACAACCGATCAAGACGTCTGCACTCGACACGCGTCGATTCGTCTTCTCGATCTATGACTTACCTACTCGTTTCAATTTGGAGAACAACTCAAATACGTGATTTAAAGAAAAATCCAAACGACAGAGTAAAGTTGATGCACGAAGCAGCGAAAGTGAATTACGTTCTTTTAACGAGAAAGAGAGAGACCGGTTTTCGACGTGAGTTCCAATCGTTTACGCAAACACAGCTGCACAAGTACTCGAGATAGCCGGGGCTAATGTCGTTTCACTTATAGGCATTATCACTTCGAATGTACTTATCGAACTTGATTTAATTTCCTCGAGACGCTGTCGTACAGCAGTCAGGCGCGGGAAAAAAGCAGCGGCTTTGAACCGTTTCACGTTCTTTTTTATATTTCTAGCTTTTCAACGTGTGTTTCTTGTACTACTGTCGATTACTTCGTTTGAAAGTCAATATCGAAAAATACGAAAGTTATCGGATGCAGATAGATGCCCCCCCCCCAAAAAGGAAACTGTAATCATTCGTTCGAATTTGAATTCAAAGTTCAAACACGATCAACCGCGATAGACGTTAAAGACAAGGTAGTAAACGAGTAAGGTCGACTGGTCGTTAAATCGGAATATTCGAATTCCAAAGGACGAAACTGCCAGGTAAACCAAACAAAAAGGTATAACCTTTTCGTATAAATATTTGTTGTACAGGACGACTAATGGGAGGAAACGTTAAGCGTGGGACCCGGTATATACTTCGTCTCGTTATTTACTTAGCGAACAGAACACGGTTTAGCTTGCAAATTAATTTACGATCACAAACCGCGTAGTTGTTTGACTTTTTATCTCACGCGTCGAATTCATTACGTTAGCGGAGAAAAAAAGAGATATGAATTTGTGAATTCTTGAATTCTGTCCCCTTCTATTTCGATTCTTCGAAACCAAAGTCAACTCATAACGCTGGAAATTTATTTTCTGCTTTCCGTGGACTTTTGGCGGTGCCAAAAGAAGGAAATTTTCGAGCTCGTTATTTCGATCGAACGGGTTAATCGGTCGGTGTCACTCGCAACGAGGATTCACGGATCGGTAGTATGCACGCGGAGCGGTCAAACACACACGTCCCTATATGTATACACGGGTATCTACGTTTTATTTCTCGGTCGCTCGCTCTACCGTGCAAATCTCAAATGCATTCGCTGGCACGTTGAAAGATCGTTCGCGATACAGGCTTCCGCAAATGCTACCATAACGCCCGTTGTCCGTTGTTCGCCGCCAATGGTCGTCAAATATGCGATTCAGGGAGAGACGATTTTGTTTTTTCGTTAGTCTATCCGGCAAAACGAGATTCTTAAAACAGGTTCGCGGGGAATTAACGATCGAGTCACGTTCGCGAGAGGCGATCGATTCGATTTGAAAATTCAAATTAGGGACGAGTTTATCTCGATGGAAAGATTGGAGCGGTGTTGAAAAACGTCGGATCAATTGAAACGGTAAGAAGAGTTTTGAATTCGAACGAAGCCGATACGAAGGTTGTTTGGCGAATTTAAAAGCCACCTTGAACTACGTCGAGCAAAGAGTTTTCGCTTTCGAACGCGAGGGAATAAATGAACGAAGAGACGCGACGAACAAGGCGTAAAAATCATGAGAGAATACGGGGGAACAAAAGCATTCGAACGACTGTTATTTTTCCACGGTAGTAAGCCAGATACACGCTGTTGTTGCTAAGAGGGCCGCGGAAATTCGCACGCGAAACGGTGCGAATCGGCAAGCAGACGCTCCGAAGAAGCACACGAAGAAGAAACGCGGAACCGTGAAAACTTAACTTGCCTCGCCGCACCGCGCCGCGCCGCGCCGAGCCGAGCCGAGCCGAGCCGCGATTTCGTAAAAGGTAAACGAAGGAGGATGAAACGCGTTGCACAAGAAACGGAGTAGAAACGAACGATAACGAAAAGGAGAGAACCGTCTCTCTCGCTTCACCTCGACCTTGTCCCTATCGCGATCGCTAAGAATTTGCATTCTCTTATTGTGTCGTAAACTAACCGATACATTGCGTTTCTCAATTCGATTTTTATTTTTCCAATATACCTACTTTGAGATAGAAGAAATTTGTATCTATTCGATCGAATGAACCGTGCATTGCTGAAATTCAATTTTAAATCGAATTTTGCTTAGCTCTAATTTCCGCGTTCTTTCGGTCGAAGAAAGTTTAAATTCGAAAGATAAAAAAAGGAAAAAGTACCTGTTGATCGTAGTGTAGAACACGGCCGAGTCGATAGGTGAATTTTAAGTCCTTTACTGTTTCCTCCGTCTTACCAACGGCGCACAGAGGCCCGGGACCGAAAGAGTAGGAAAGAGAGAAGAGTCACACCTGGCGCGGTACGAGATGAGATCACTACCGCACTCACTGATCAACTGGCCCCGCGCCCCACGTCCGGGGCCGCACGCACCTTTCGCGGTTACCCCTTCCTCACCCTCGGAGAGCAAAGCTGCCGCTTTGGGCCCCTCCACTCCCTACCACCTTTCCTTTTGCTTCTTCGGCCTCGTTTCCAGCGCCCATTGGTTCGTTCAAATCGACGTCGTGACGTCACCGAAACCGAACCGTCGCGCCGTGCCGGCATACATACGAGAGAGGAATCGAGTCTCTCCTCTCCTCTCTTCTCTCCTCCATCATGCACCCCTCCATTCCTCTTCTCTTTTTCCCCTCTCCACGGCTGCTGTTCTTTCCTCGAGTCGACTACCTGTCCTTCTACCTACGTCCATGTCTTGTATCGTCCTCTGCTCCTCTCTCTCTCTCTCTCTCTCTCTCTCTCTCTCCCACTGCTTTCTTTTTCTTTCCTTCTTTGGTCGGTCTTGTTCGACTGGCTCTCCGTTTCTCTCTCTCTGAGAGCATTACCGAACCCTCTCTGTTCTTCTACCTGGTCGATTCGTTCTTTATCGCGTCTACCTTGGTACCGGCGTACTGGCGCGGCGTACCGGCTCCTCTTCTTCGCCATCTCGTATTTTCTCCACTTGTTTTCCGCTTCGAGAGGAAACACATCGATCGGCAAGTTTCTGCTTTTTGACCCTTTGTCCCCCGAGCATCCATGGTTTCGACGGTAGTTCGGCATCCATCTTTTCTTCTTTTCTTCGAAGCGTCTGATATGTACTTGATTTCATTCGTTCCACGCTTCTCTGGCATCGATCGTGTTCCTGTACAACATGATCGGTAATTTTTTGGAGTAGCCTGGACGGTAGCACGATCCCTGGATGGTAACTTTTCAAGGTACACTGGTTGTAAGATGTTCGATGGTTGAACAGGCGGCAGGAATATTTGAAGCCGGCTTCTTCTCGTTCGGTCTGTTCGCCAAGATTGTCCGGCAAAGGAGGATCGCCACCGTCATCGCCAACGTCGCCGCTGCAACGGAGCGAGAGCAGGCTGCCGCTAGGTATACCGCGGGGGGACACAAAAAGGAAAAAAGAACGCATTCCAACGACTATAGTCGGTCCATAACGATTCCCATACGTTGAGAGTGTGCAACGAACAACCAATGACCCTTCCACCGATCTCTCGCGCCTCCTCTTTCCCACCCTTTACCTTTCTCCTTCATGAGTTTCTCTTCTCTTCTCTTCTCTCTTCTCTTCTCTTCTCTTCTCTTCTCTTCTCTTCTATTCTCTCCTCTCTTCTCTCTTCTCTCTTCTCTCTTCTCTCTTCTCTCTTCTCTCTTCTCTCTTCTCTCTTCTCTTCTCTCTTCTCTTCTCTCCTCTCTTCTCTTCTCTTCTCTTCTCTTCTCTTCTCTTCTCTGCCGCGTTTTACACAATTCCACGTGTGTCCTCTCCGGCTCTCTTTGCTAACACTGGTACATGCGCTATGCGTATCGGTGGCCACATTGTGTGTGCACGTTACGATCGAGGTGAAGGCTCGGCCTCGTACGTACCTACATAGCCATTCTGTCCTCTCGTTTTTCGAAGAAAATCCTCGACGTCACGACGACCAGTCGAATATTTCTCGAGTATACCCTCGCTCCTTCTCGAATATCCCTCAGCTATGCCTGCTTGCTTGCCTGCCTGCCTGCTTGCCTACCTGCCTGCCTGCCTGCCGGACTTCTCCCTGCGTTATGTATGCGTGCATGTGCTTTACGAACAGGACGAATCTCTCGTTTCACCGCCGCTCTGCCACGGGGCCACCTTGACATCGAGCAGCGTATCGTAAACGCTCGATCGTAGGTGTAATTACCGATTCACGGCTCGCGATGAACCCCGTGATTTTCACCGGCTTGATTTTCTTCGAGGAAACGGTCAAATGATTACACTCTGCACACTACATCGAAATTGTTCGTCGACCCTTCTTCGCTTTCTCCTTCTCTTTCTCTGTCGAATCTATTAGCAACGGAACACGAGAATTCGTGGGGAAGATCCGGTGTACACCTTGCGTGGGAATCCCGTGCGTGCCTCGTCGATAGGTCTCGCTCTTATGACTCGGTTCCTCTTCGACGAATTTCGTAATTGCAAACTTGCAACTTTTCATGCTTTAAGTTCTTCAGTATACATACTATCTCGTAGTCTCGTGGTGAACGAAGAAAGATCGCGATGCGTTTTGACACAGCCTGTCGTCGCTGTTGAGCTCACCGGAGAGAGGATACTCTGACCCGGATGTGACGTTCTTACTGCGGAAAAATTGCGACACGCAACCGCTCGCCATCCGCATGCCTCCTTGCTAATTGGTCATATGTGATGGGGAATGCAAAATGCGATAGCCGATACGTTTAGAGATTAATTTTTAATTATTTTTCTTCTATACGATATTCGATTGTATTAAAAGTAACAGCAATGCCTGAAACTGGCCTCAAAAATTAATTAACTCGACAAAGACCCCCGTGGAACTTCCTTCGAGGAGTCACGGGGATAAGTATCGTATTCTTTTTTTATATTTTACGCGACGCCTTTTACGTTCGAACGCATTTATGCACCCTAAAAGACACGGCTGCTTGAACGACGTTGAATCGGTTACGCTGTCTGAAAGCGCGTCCTGGGAAGTTCCGCGACTCTACACGTGTCATCCATTTTCAGTTTGTGGGAAAGGCAACGCCGTGACGGAAAGTATGTGCTCGAGTGGACGATATACAAGCGTAATTTCCATGTAGATCAACGACACGACGAAAGAACGATCTCTGATCGCGTCGACGCGACGCGACGCGACTCGGCGTTCCTTGATTCTTCAGGAAAGATTGTGTATTCTCCTCATTAGGTTGCTTTGTCGTGATTTACAATCTATCGGATTCGTTAACCCTTTGTGCTATCGTGCTTAAAAATTTCTACAGCTTTAGAAAGTAAAAACTAATTGCAAGTAGCGATATTAAATAGCGATAAGTAAATTATTCGTCGAATTTCATAGATCAATCGATGATTATTACAGCAAGAATGCAGCAGTGAAAGGGTTAACGAACAGAAGAAGAAGAAGAAGAAGAAGAAGAAGAAGAAGAAGAAAGGGCATGTCTGGTCGATTAGGAGAAACGTATTTCGTTTCTTCTTTTTGAAAGAAACTCGTTTTCCCGTCTCGCCGAGACGGTGAAGGAACAAAGAATCGGCAAAGTTTCGGACCCCGACTTATTCGCGGAATGTTATTACAACGTTAAGCCGTACGTGACGCTTACGTGAATGAAATTTTGCATGCGTATTGGCTTGCCCCGAGTGCCAGGACCTCGAAGGTCGAGCTCCAAGTCGTTGTCGATTATATATGAACCGCGCGAAAAACTTATCAGTTGGACAGGAATTTTATTATAACGATAAAACTGGCAGCTGAAGTCAGAACGTTAAGAATCGCGATGAAAAGGAATTTTCTTCGACTAATCGTCGCCTGTAATATTTAACTAAGAGTAGATGGTCGGCCAAGGACGATTTTTTATTGTTCGTTTCGAAGAAGAATCCATCGAAAGGATCGGTACTGTTATATCCCCCGGTTCTGGTAACTCACCTGCGCCTGTTCAGGTACAAAGCTAATTCAGCCCTGGCTCTCAGGTACAAGCGTTGGCGTCACGAGCTCACTGACGCCCTTCGACTTCCGCCGGATGTACATCGTCCTTGCTTTAGCGTTTCTACCGTTTTCTTTGCGTACACTTGACGTTTTTTTTTCTATTCATTTCGAGCAGTCTTCTGCGAGCAATAGAATCAGAAATTGAATGAAAATCAATGCAATTCTAGAAAGATGTTAGACGTTATAGGAAAAGCGCGATGGACGTGTTGAGGACACTTGTCGTATGGATTTCAAAAACAAAAGAGGGACACCGAAAATCGTGAAATCGAGGTTCTCATTCGCATTCGACAGCGACGCGACTAGTCACCTGGAGTCGTTAATCGTTTCTCGGATGGTTCGTGACATCGTGTTGGTGAGAAAAAATGTTTTTCGTATCGTGTTACGCATATTTTGTGTAAGTAAATCACACCACTTACACCATACCTTGGTGAACCGTAAATTTTATAAAAGAAAATCTTCGAAACCGCTGGAAGAAGGAGAAGAAGGAAGGTTCGGTAGAAGCCGGTGGACCGTTGGAAGGACGGCCGTTACCGAGAGAAGACTATAGAAATCGGTTCGCACCTGCCTGGCTCGGTAAAAAGAAAAACCTACCCAGAACCCCCGTGAGCCCCGAGGTCCAAAGTAAGTTTATGGATGTCTCGCCCCTTATTCGTGACGGCCCCGGCACAGGTTTCGAGTTTAGAGAAGGTTTCCGACGTTCCTGCGTTTTCTTATAGGGTTGCTCCTGCCTCTTGCACATTCCGCTTGCAAACGCTTCGCATTTCGTTTCTCTTTAACGACCCTCCTTCAATTGTTCTTTCTATATCCTCTTGCGAAAACCTTTGCAATTCGATGCAAAATGTAAACGTTTCTACCTGAATGAATATTTTTCTTTTCCTTTCTTTTCCTTTCTTTTCTTTCCTTTTCACAATCAATGGAAAGCACTTCCAATTTTTAAAATTAAAACAAGATTACGTGCACGTAGCTCGAGGTATTCGTATCGAGTCGGAACACGATCGAAGAACACCGGTGAAACTTTGTTAGTAGGATGGAAAGTTTGTTCGTCTGACTAGCAATCGAACAAGTCGATTCTAGAAACTATTTAGAGAATAGCGCTGTTAGATGCAACGATAAATCGCAGCAGGAGAGACATTTCGACCAGGAGTTTCACAGTGCCGTCGAGAAATTCGATTTCGAACGAACGCAAACGTCATCATGCTCCAAAGGAAAGGATTCGTACCCCCCATTCGGAGATACAATGGGCGATATTTTCCCAACGGATGTACCATTAGTCCCTGCCTGTCCTCTTCTATTTTTCCAAAATCGATTACGCGTCTCAGGTAAAAATTTCAAGACCCTCCGCTTCTACCAACCCCTCTTCAGCTTCCCTCGACCTTTTCCTCCGTGAACGTTTCCTCTTACCACCATTGAGAAACACACTGTACGTTGAAAATGTATTTCCTATTTTGTCGACATATCGGACAAACCTTTTAAGTCCGTTCAATCATGGAGAACGTAACGAAAGATTACGAAAGACTTTAAAACTGTTCACGGATGAGTCCACATTGATACTTTCACGAGAGTATTTGTTCTAACGTTTCCTAAGCGATACCGTTTCGCATTTCCATATGATTAGGAGAATCTGAAAGGCTAATTCGTCCGGTTAACAGCTTCATTTCGTTCAGAGTTAACGATCTCCGGAACGTGACCAATTGAATTCCATGATACGCTGCTCCAGACAATGTCTTCTTACTAGATTAAGAGGAAAAACGCAGGTAAAAGATTTTAGGCTGAGCGAGCATCTTCTTTGTTTGTAAAATGGACAGAATTTTCCGTGCTGCTAGACTCGATGATAGGAAGGATGGGTTGTGGAGGAAGCGACATCGCTGTTGCAGCAGTAGGAGCGTCGAAGTCTCCGGAGGGCTAGATAACCGATGAACGTTTTAAGTTGTAGTTTATTTTCCAACGATTCTATTTCTTTGAAATTTTGAATTCAAATACACTACAGTTGCAATTTTCTTATGATAATATGATATACATTTATCTGGATATTTGTAAGACGAAAAGAGATAATGAAACGTGGCGAACGGAAGGTTCAAAGAAAAATCGTTCAAACAATGTGGAGTCAAATCGAAAGAGTTTCGAGGCTTCTGCCCAAGAGAATGACTCGAGGCAGAACAGCGATGATGTCATCGGTCGGCGAGTACTCGCGCCTACGCTTTTCTCTTCACCAGTTTCACTGGTTGAGCTACCCAACGCGTGTGCTTGTTCTCGAAGCAACCTCTACTCTCTATACGAATGCCCAACCAACCACCTCTACCGATTTCCCCCTTTCTCTTCTCTTTTCTTCCATTCGTTCCTTTTTGTTCTTCTTCTTCTCCTTCTTCTTCTGCTTTTACTTCTTCTTCTCCTTCTTCTTCTGCTTTTACTTTTTCTTCTTCGTCTTCGTCTTCGTCTTCGTCTTCATCTTCGTCGTCGCCGTCGTTCTACCATCTCGAGCTCCTCTCTACAGTTCGCATCGAACGAGGACGAGGCGAACGATATAATGTGCCGTGGACATGCTCGATTCTACCTTCATGCCAGTCTACATTGCTGGTATATACCGGTTATGCAGATGGAGTCTGG